TAATCAACCAAACTAAATCGTTACGGTGACTTTAAAAGCACCTTCCACAGCCCTGATATTTAGCATGTATTCTGAGACTCTACCATCTGATGGGCACAAAAGCAGGCACAGGTCCTATACTCCTAGAAGTTATAGTCTAGTTGGGAGACAGTCACTTAAACAAGCAATTAGAATCGTGTATGGTTGAACACACAATAGAAGAAGTAGAGAGAAGCCGCTCTGAGAGCACAGAGATAACTAACCTCGCAGGGGAGGAGGAGAGTGGAAGTCTATAATTGTGGTAGGCAAATTCTAAGATGACCCCAGTGCTCCCTGCTCTTGCTCTCCTCCCCTTGAGCAAACAGGACCTATGACTTGATTCTAACCTATAGAATATGACAAAGGTGAAGGGATTTTGCAGGGATAATTAAGATCCCTCAAGAGCTGATTTTAAATTAATCAAAAATGGGATATCCTGGGTGGGCCTGACTTAATCAGGTGGGTCTTTAAAAGGAGGTCTAGAGGTCAGAGATGCAGTGAAGCAGAGACTCTCTCTCCATTGCTGGCCTTAAAGAAGTAAGCATCATGACTTCCATATCCACAAGGAAATGAATTATGCCAACAACATGAGGGAGCTTAGAAGCACACCCTTCCCCCATCAAGCGTCCATATGAGAATGCAGCCCAGCTAACACCTTGATCTCAGTTTTGTGAGACTCCAACCAGAGGGCCCAGCTAAGCTATGCCCAGACTCCCGACCCAAGAAAACTGGGAGATGGTAAATCTAGATTCTTTTAAGCCACTAAGTCTGTGGTAATTTGTTATGCAGCAATCGAAAACGAATACAACGGTAGGTTAGACCGAGCTAACTAATGATGTCTTCATGGAGAAGGAAGGCTTAGCACTGAGGCCTTTAACCAGCCTTGCTGAACAACAAGACCCATGCTGAGTCTTCTGTATCCTCCCTGTGAAATCCAGGCCAAGTCTGTAGACAATAAAGGAGGTCTCTGTGCCCACCTGCTGAGGGTATGCTGTCTGGTACTCAGTGTAAATATCTACTTGATGTTCGAGATGAGGGCATAGAAAGTATATTCTTTTCCCTGCTGTTATAAATGTACCCCACTTTATGCAAATAATGTGATACTGACAAACTCAATCAAATTATATTTTTTCAAGTAGGATTCAATTTCCTTTACTTTTGGTTCATTTAACCAATTAACAAGGGTCTACAGAGCACCTGTCCTGTGCCTAGAACTACACTAAGTGTGATAGACTGAAGGAGAATTGAGATGTGGTTCTACCCTTTGAGGAGCTTGAGAGAGAAGCCTCATGTAGCAGAAAAAGTTAAAGAAGGATAAAACACTAAAAGTGGGACTGAGGAGGTAAACGCTGAGTGCCAAGGAATAATGAGTCTGATTTTACAGGGTCCTTGCTCCGAGAGAAAGGAAAACATTGGGAGTGTTCTTAGCTTCCAGCTGAATGAACGCATGCAACAGGAGTTTGTGGTTTCTTAGCCAGTTATACGTAAATCTTGTTTATTCAGAATTTTGGAATAATTTCAAAGACACTGAGCTGAAACTTTGAGTTATCCAACCAATGTCTCAACAAAATTCATTCAATAAATAATGTTTACTGAATACCTACTATATCAAGTGCTATGCTAGGTATTGAGAATACAGTGGTATATCTCTCAGAATGTTTTAAACTGCAGATAACAGAAAACCCATTCAAGTGGCTTAAACAATAAACAGATTTATTATCTCACCAAAAAAAGGAATCTTGAAGCAGGTCAGCTCCAAGATTGCCTAATTTAGGAGCTTACCAAGATAATTAAGGACCCAGGGTCTTTTTAGTTTTCCATTCTCATTTCCTTAAGACAATAGCTTGTTCTGAGCTGGTTCTCCTCATGGTCACAAGACAGCTGCCACTGCTCCAGGCACATCTTCACAATCCTGTCTAAGCAAAAAACAAGTACTGTTTCTTCCCATGTGTCTTTTTTATCAGTAAGGAAAAAAAATCCCAGAAGTCCTCAGCAAACTTTCTCTGATGTCTTACTAACCAGAATTATACCTCATGCTTCTGCCTAAACCAGTCAGAAACCCACTCTCTGAGGCAATGTTGGGGGCTTATCTCCCCTGAAGCACATGGCCTCAGAAGAATGGAGACCCGAGCAGAACTGGGGTTCTACCAAAAAGAGGAAGGGGAGGGAAGGGTGGCTCAAAAGGCCATCTGCTAGTGGTATCCATGACTGCTGCAATTAAACACAGTAGTAATGGCCGTCTCTGCACTGGGGGACAGAAACAGACTCACAGATGATATACGGTTAGAAATTGTGGCAAACACCGTGACCAGAGAGAACTGTGGGCTGGGAGAGAGACAGCAGGGTGATCCTAGTGAGGTCATAGGTCAAGAAAAGCTATTCAGAGGAAGTGAAAGATGAGTAGGAGCCAGCCAGGCAGAGGGTTGGGGGAAGAGCATTCCAGGCTGAGGAGCCCAGGGCAGCGGGGCACTGGGAGGGAGAGGCATGGAACGAGCAAAGGGCAGCAGGCAGGGTCCTTCCGGCAGCAGGGGAAAGAGTTTGGATTACATCCTAAGAGAAGTGCAAAGGTACTGAGGGTTTTAAGACAGGGCCGAGATGTGATCTGACTTGTGCTTTTGAAAGCTCAGTCTAGGGGCCAGCCCTGTGGCGTAGTGGTTAAGTTCGCACGTTCCGCTTCTCAGTGGCCCGGGGTTCAGCGGTTCAGATCCCGGGTGTGGACATGGCACCCCACATGCTGTGGCAGGCATCCCACATAAAATAGAGGAAGATGGGCACGGGTGTCAGCTCAGGACCGGTCTTCCTCAGCAAAAAGAGGAGGATTAGTGGCAGATGTGAGATCAGAGCTAATCTTCCTCAAAAAAGAAAAAAAAAAAGCTCAGTCTGGCTGCTGTGTGGGGTACGGATGGAAGGGCAAGAAGATGTTAGGAGACTATATATTCATCCATGAGCTGATGGTGGCTTGGCGACAAGAGTGATAGAGAGAAAGGGATGGATGACATTGTTAGTGCTCTGGGGGACACAAGGATGGGGCAGTCCCAGGACTTCCTCCTGAGGTATGCAGTGTGCTCGAGGGGCTAAGACACATGTGCATGCATAACTCTGCCTTGGTGGAGAGAAATTAAGTGCCCTGTGGGAGTTCAGAAGAAGGTCAGATCATGGGTTTGGGGACTTGTGTGTGTGTGTGGGGGCCTGACTTCAGGGGGGCTTCTGAAGGAAGGTGTGCAAGGTGGGAAGGTTTGAAGGCTCTGCAAGGTGGATCAGAAGATGCAGGCCTGGGAAGGGCAGCACAGGGAGAGGAGCCAGCGTGAGGAACTAGCTTCTGAGCCTAGGAGAGGAAGGAGCAGCAGCATTTGTAGGGCTCTGTGAAGGGGCCTTCTGGAAAACAAGGCTAGGAAAGTCACGGGGGTCAGCTTACCAAGAGTTCTTTCTGGCAGGCTAGGATAATCAAATAAAAAGTGGGCCAAAAACGTTTCAATAAAGTCTAGCTTAGCTACAAAACCACTTAGTTTCCTTAGGAATAATCAATGTGCTAATGGAGCTATGATTATTTATTCACTGGATAGACTAGCGTTATCCCTTCCTGCCATCACTGCCACTGCAGGTCACTGGCCAGTGATTTCTGATTCCTTTTTGGAATACAGCCCCTCATCATTTATTGAGTACTGGTGCTAGGGATCCTAGAACGAAAAGGCATGGCTCGAGCTCTCAAGGGGTCTGAAAGTTGAGCAGATGAAGAGATAAACTGCAACAAATATAGGTAAATGTTTGGGAAGAGGTAGTACAAAGGAGGAAAAAATTCTCTCTGCTACCTGGACTTTGGGGCTAGATTTCAGAGAGGTGGTGACATTTAAGTGGACCTTGAAGGATGAGTAGGAGTTTGCCAGGCAAAGAAGTGAGGTGGGGAGTCCTCCCACACACAGGGAACAATCTGCAAAGACACAAGTCTTCTCAGTTCTCACTCCTCAATCCTACAAGCCCAATGGAATGTACAATTTTCTTTTTTTTTTGAGGAAGATTAGCCCTGAACTAACTGCTGCCAATCCTCCCCTTTTCCCTGAGGAAGCCTGGCCCTGAGCTAACATCCGTGCCCACCTTCCTCTACTTTCTATGTGGGACGCCTACCAAAGCGGAATGTGCTAACTTGATCGCTGCGCCACCGGGCCAGCCCCTGGAATATACATTTTTAAGTTTTCTTTTCAGGCTCTTGGGAGAAGCTTGGTGATAACTGGTGAGTTCTTCCATTTGCTACAAAGCAAGAGTTGGCATCTAAAGTATTTGACCCTCATAAACATGCATTTTACGTAATATTAACAGAAGTCAGGATTTTAGTAAGTGAAACTGGTCATACCCTCTACTCCCAATTATTCCTCAAGGAGGTTTTACTGATTTTCACTTTTCCAGGTCAGCAAGGAAAGGAATCTTAAATCTGTATTTTTGGAGACTGGTAAACACATCAGTCACCGGTGGGACCCCTCGTGTCTTCAGTTGTTCAAAGAAGGATGGAGAAGTTATAATTCACTGTCGTATCTGTCTCCTGATTTTGGCATTTGCAGGAAATTGGTCCCCTCTGTGCTTCCTAAGCCTTCATAATGTTATCTCAGACTCAGATGGGCACCCAAGACCATCCTACCTCAGAAAGGTGTTAATTGCTGATTTGAGCTCAAGATAAAAAAACAAACACATCAAGACTGGATGAGGTGATGAGAAAGTGAGCAAGGAATTCGTTTAAGACTGAAGAGTACTCTTCTCTCACCCAACACTGTCATTTAAGGAGAGTGTGGAAATCCAGGCCCGGGGACCTGCCCTGACCTGCCGAGTTTGCTCTGACCGGAAGCTGCTGCAGAGGTGGAGGACACAGAGGACCAGCTGCGTGACAGAGCAGAAGCATTTTGGGGAACTGAACCATCCCAGGCAGTATCTGAAGTACTTCCTCCCTCCTACAGGCTCCACCCCCCACTTGCCCTCTCTCTCTCTTTCCCTTTCTCTCATGGCAGGCTTAGGCGTCAGTTGCTGAAAAGTGGGGACATTTCCGGATGTCTTTGCAACATTGAGAAGTTGTCTTAAGAGAGGCTGCACCCCATTTGAGCACCAGGCCAGGAAAGGAAGGCCTGAGGGCAGCCCTACTCGGGGAGACACCTGCTGGTCCTCTCCCAGTCTCCTGGCAGCACTCACCGCCTCCTGGTTTGCATCTGACCATGTCCCTGGCTGAGGCCATCAGCCTCTGGAATGAAGGGGTGCTAGCAGCAGACAAGAAAGACTGGAAGGGAGCCCTGGATGCCTTCACCGCCATCCAGGATCCTCACTCCAGGATTTGCTTTAACATCGGCTGCATACACACAATCCTGGAAAACATGCTGGAGGCAGAGAAGGTGAGTGGAGGGGCCTTTGTAGTAAGTGGTTCCCAGCCCTGGCTGCACCTTAGAAAGAACAACAGCTTTAAAAGAACAAGAGCTTTAAAAGAACAGAAGCTGCCCAGGCCCCACCCCTAGACATCCTGATATAATTGGCCCGGGGAGGGGCCTGGACAGCCATAGGTGTTGAAAGCTCCCCAGGCGGTTCTACTGGGGAGCAAGGCTGGGAACCACGAGCTGTGGGTTATGCTCTCCTTTCTTCACCGATGCATTCAAATCATTCTGGAATCACGCTTTAATACCTTTATGAAGACTCCCCTCGTTGTGTTTCCTTCTTTGAACTGCTGACAACAAGATCTCCATCTCGTTGCTTTGCACCTGATTTTAAAGCACCTCTTTTGGCTTTCCAAGAATTTCTCATGTGAGCTTTGCCTGCACAAGAGACTAAGAGGAGTCACTTAAGAAAAATAGGTTGCATCTCAAGTGACAATTCTGATCAGTGATGTGGGGCACTCTTTTAAGGATTCTGAGGCTAGCAGAGGAAGTCATACTGTGATTGTTTGATGATCTCTGCCAAGGGCATGGTGTGGGATGTCTTAGCATCTTTTTCAAATATTTTTTCTCTCTCATATTCCCAAGTATGGGGTTGAGTGTATCAATAATCACTTTTGGATTGGTCCTGGTAAGCAGAAAGGATATGGAGTTTGGAAGCAGAAGATCTGGGATCAAATCCCAGCTCTGCCTTTCTCTGGATCTTCCGGCTTCAGCAAGTCATGTAGACTTCTGGTCTCAGTTTCTTGAGAGGTTAAACATCATGAGGATTAAGTGAGACACCAACTGTGAAAGTGCTGTGTAACTTCACACCACTATGTAAATACTAGTTCTTATTTTTACCTTTTACTGCCAGTCTTTGCAAGAAGGTGTGGACAGATAACTGACTCCCCAGCACCCTCAAAGAGCCAGTTCCTCCCACAGCCATCCTTACTGTGACCAGCTGGGGAGCCAAGAAGAGGGAGGAGAGAAGCCTCTTGGAATGCCTGCACAGCCTGACAAGTCCACCTCAGGTCCAGGGTGGGCCGACAGGAGCGCCGAGGGCCCCTGCTGTTGGGCTGGAGAGAGGACGGCGGCCCCCACCTTTTCTCAGGGGCCTGCCGAGGGGCTGACTCTGAGCACCACCGATTCCAAGGGCTGTTGGAGACGAAGTGCATGGAAGTGTACATTGTCGGGGAGAAGAGGTTGACAATGCGGGGCAGCTAGTCCGAGTGCAGGGATGGTGCGGGGATGAAACGGGATGCTCCTTGGCAGCAGTGAGCTGCGTCGCCCCTGGAGCACCCTCAGCTGCTCACTCCCCCGCCTTCCTCCCACTGCTCTGGATTTCTCCTGGCGTTCTGCTGCTGCTGGCCTTCTCCCTCTCTCTGCCTTTCCTTGGTTTCCTGCGTGAGTCCTTGCTCCTGGCATTTTATGTGCATTCCTAGTTGTTATTATTTTAATTGTATAATATTTATATAATGAATTTATATAACAAACAAACATAATAATAATGTATATAACATTTTGCTATTTTCATATTTAACTATGTTTATGTATTATTTTAATCCTGTCAGTAATCTTGAAAGGCAGATATTAATATCCCCATTTTACAGAGGAGAAAAATAAAGTTCAAGGAGATTACAGAAATCACCTCCTGCCACGCCACTAGGAAGTGACAACACAGGGCATTCTCACCCTGGCCTTCTGACATTCAAGACACCAACCGTTCTCAGGTCCCTTCTAGCCTCACCCTCTGGCTCATCTCACACCTCACCACCACCTGGCTCCTCAGCCACCTAAGGGCCCTTCTCTCCGCAGGCCTTTGCTGCAAGCATTAACCGAGACAAGCACTTGGCGGTGGCCTACTTCCAACGGGGGATGCTCTACTACCGGATAGAGAAGTAAGCGGTCCAGTGTCGTACAAGCTGGGGAATTATGCAGAGAAACCCAGAGCGGGTCTCAGTGCTGCTAGACTTGGCGTTTGAGAGGTTTCCTCCAGCCTCTGTAGGGAAGCGTGACTGGACCTTCTTGGGGCAGTTGTGCAATAATTAGCACGAGGCAGAAGCCCTTGCTGGGGAGGGAAGGCAGGCCTGTGACTGGTTGTAACCCAGCTGTGTCACAGCTCACCATGAGCCTATGTAACACTACAACCTGGTGTTCAGCTGATGTGGTACCCGACAATCGTCCCTGATGGGTCGTAGCCTGGGAGGTCCTGGTTGCAAATATTTTGGCCATCAAGGGAATACCCATGGTGGTCTGCTACCAGGAGGGATTGAGCTGTCGCACAACGAAGATTATCCCGAAACCATGGGAAACCCTTGCTTCGTTCTTGCAGTGAAATCCATTCAGTGAAATCTAATTCAGACACCAAAATGAGAATATGAACTGCTAACATTCTATGTATAAGACCATATTAATAAATAAGTAGCGTATGTATTAATACAGAAAAAAGTTCACAGTAGATGTTAAATTTAAAACCAGATTTCAAAACTGTATGTATAACATAATTCCATTTCTGGTTCCCAGAATAGTCTGGAAAGCCATAGACCAAAATGTTGTCAGCAGTTCTTTCTGGGTGGTGAAATTGTACGGATTTCCCTTTTTTTCTATCAGCCTATCTGTATTTTTTTTTAATGTGTTCACAGTCAATACAAAATAATTAGTAAAAACATAAATAGAAAATGCAAGTTAATGTCAATTTCCAGTCCCCTGCCCCAAATACCCCAATAGCAAATAGCAAGGAAAAATCTTCTGAGCATCAGTTTAAAATATTTTAGGGGATGGCAAACTGGCCCTTTGTAGAAATTCTTACATTAGTGTGCACAAGTTCTAGGGAAGAAGAATTTGGCTCAGGCTAATGAAGAACTTTCAGAAATGGTTGGAGCATGGTGTGAAGTGTGTGTGTTTGTATCTGTGTGTGTGTGTGTGCACACGCACACGTGCAAGCAGCAGGTGAGGCAGGGCGTTGGCGGGGCAGAGGGGAGGCTGCAGAGAACGTCCAGGCATTGGGGAGGTGGCTGGGCTCTGATCCTGTGCAACTTCGAAAGACTTTGGTCCTAGGGTTTAAGATCAAAGGTGCTGTGCTCAGCTGTTGCTAGGGGCAACTACAAGCCGCTCAGAGGACTTCCAAGATGTAGATACAGTCAATTCTGAGAATGAGGATGAGCAGAAGTGAAGTCTCCCCCTCCCCCCCAAAAATCCCCTTAGACACAGAGGCAATCTGGGGATAGACAGCCTGGGATCCAGAGAAGATAGCAGGCGTTTATCTTTCAGGGGCATCATGCCTGTCTTCCTTCTTAACATCCTTCTGCTTCTCATCCGTCTTCTCTCATCCCCTAGATTCTCCAGATGTATAGGATATGCAGGGAGGCCTGGGCACAAATCCTGTAGTTGATCTTAAATCTCAAAAGACAAACTCTAAGGCCACCCTTTTTTTTTAAAGATTTTATTTTTATTTTTTCTCCCCAAAGCTCCCTGGTACATAGTTGTATACTTTTAGTTGTGGGTCCTTCTAGTTGTGGCATGTGGGATGCTGCTTCAACGTGGCCTGATGAGAGGTGCGATGTCCGCACCCAGGATCCGAACCGGCGAAACCCTGGGCCGCCAAAGCAGAGCGCGGGAACTCAACCACTCAGCCACGGGGCCGGCCAAGGCCATTCTTTAATTAGCTCTAACAGTCTATAATGAGGAGAGACAACTAGCGAAGAGGGAAGGCTCCCAGAAGAAATTTCTACGTGAAAATGCCCGGAAGTGCCAGACTCTGAAAGGCTCAGATTTTGAGTGAGTCAGAAAGATCTAGGAATAAGACCCAGAATTCAGAATTCCATTAGTCTGTGATCGATAATCGTTAAATCTGAGAGGAGTCTTCCAAATGGTATCTTTAATTCAAAACTACCTTTCGAGGAAATAATATAAATGAGGCACTATTCTCCACCCTGAGCTGCCTCCTTTTCTTTCGATCAATCCATAGGCACTGGTGTCCCCTGTCCCAAGGATCTGCTCTTGATCCTTTTCCCTTTTATCACCATAAGAGTGGTTGTTAAATGGTAAAATTTATGGGCTATCTTCCCAGAAAAACACACACAAGCACTTACCTTTTATATATATATATATATATTTTTTTTTTTTTTGAGGAAGATTAGCCCTGAGCTAACTGCTGCCAATCCTCCTCTTTTCCCTGAGGAAGACTGGCCCTGAGCTAACATCCGTGCCCATCTTCCTCTCCTTTCTATGTGGGACGCCTACCACAGCATGGCTTGCCAAGCAGTGCCATGTCTGCACCTGGGATCCGAACCAGCAAACCTCAGGCTGCAGAAGCAGAACGCACACACTTAACTGCCGTACCACCAGGCCGGCCCCTGCACTTACATACTTTTATGTGCAATTTCAAGGGGTTCAGTGTCCCCTGAAAATCAGTACATGAACCCTTAGGGCTCCCACTCTCTGCCATGGTGTTGACCTCCATCTGTAGCCAATCAGCTACTAAATCTCTACTTGAGATCAACTCAGAATGTCTCTTTTCCTAAACCCTGTCAAGTTGACCTCTTAATCATCTCTGAAATCCACCCCTGTCTCTCCATCCCCACCAGCACTGCCCTGGTTTGGACCGTCAGTTTTCACCAGGACTATTGCAATCACTTCCAAACTGATATCCCAGCCATCAGTCTTGTCTTCTCCGCCCATATTCCACAGTGGTCTTCTTAAAAAATAAATGGGATCTGCTTAAGAACTTCCAGTGGCTCCCTTGCCTGTTCCCATGTGGTCCAGCCACTGCCCGCCCACTCACTCGTCTGTGCGTTTGCCCAGCCACACTCAACCACTAGGGCGGCAACCATTCTCTTTTCTGCCTCCTTTTATAGCATCTGTCTACTCTGTGACAGATATTTGCCTGTATATTTGTCTCCTCCACTACTCTGTGAGCTTCTTAAGAGAAGAAATCTTTATTTATTCGCTCTTATGTTTCAGTATCTAGCAGAGTAGTTAATAAATACTTATTGAATTAATTAAATGAAAGCAAGCAAAATATAGCCTCTACTTTAAGGAACTTATAAATCAAAAGTGGGGAACAGGTCACAAACACTAGTAACTATAACATAAGGCAGACTGGGGCAAGTGCTATAAGAGATATTTTTAAATAAGTGCCATGGGGACCTAGAAAAACTACTTCTTAATGAGTGGTTTGGGAAATCCTTCAGATTACAATCGGGTTGTTTTAGGGTGATAACGTTATGGGTGTTTTTTCCTCTGTTTTCCCCACTCTCCTGTGTTGCTCTCCTGTCATCACACAGTTCCACAGAACAAAGTTAGGGTGCATTTCTGAGAAGGCAGATGGTGCCTCAACGATGACTATGAGCAGACGGTCCCACCTCTCAGATCTCAGCCTTGTCACCCGAAAGGGGAAGGGAGATCTAAGCTGTGCTTCAGATCCTGGGCCTTATGAATCCGAGGGCCATGAGAGTAACAGCGAGACCCTTTAGATGGAGCTGGCCCCGAGAGGTCTTTTCTCTTCTGTCTTTGGAACTGGAAAGGGCAGGGCCCCCAGCCCCTGTCATAGGTGTCTGACATTTTGACTTCCTTTGGCTTGCTAAACTGCTCCATTATCCTGGATACAAGTGTATGAGCAGCAGGATTCTAGACCGAGTGGGGAGTTAGCACCGGAAGGATCAGGAACATCAGTGGTTACTAAGAAATCTTTACAGGGAGTATGACAAAAATGAGGATTGTAAATCCTCTGCGCTCAGAGCTGGTGAAAAGGCCCAGCAAGGTTGCCGCTGCGCTGGTGACCTCCTGCCTGGGGGGGAGCGGGGGCTTGGGGACCAGCTCAGCCAAGGCTCTGGCGGGGTGTCAGGGGGATGTGGGCGTGAAGAAAGTACTGGCGCCCAGCCCAGCAGAACCCTGCAGGAAGCTCCAGCACCTTGGCCTCCTAGGGGACGCTGTGGGTTCCAAATGGCACCAAACAGAACCCCCGAGGAAGGGCTGGAGGGAGGTAGGGGCTGCGCCGCATGGCCACCAGGGCTCAGGGCTGAGTGCTATTTTGGAATTTTCATACTGAGCTGATTCAGACCGCATGCAGTGGGGAAACAGAGCCGTGTGTCAAAGTGATGCCCCAGGGGGGCAGCTCCTGGTAAACAAGTTGGGAGCTGAGGAGCGGCCTGGGGAGGCAGTCAGGGCGACGCTTTTAAAGATATTTTTAAAAATGGACATTTAGTAGGGGCACCCCCACCCTGTTTTTAACACAAAGCAAGCACTTTGAATAATTTATCAGGTCTTTCTCTCTCCCTCCCACTGGGCCCAGATCTTTAGACATCCTGATGGACGGGAGAGCTATGAGCAGGATTTTGTTGGGCTCACACAATACCAGGTAGACACAGGTGGTGTTACTTCACAGCTGAAATTCATCTGCTGAGCCAGCTCGCCAGAGGAAGGCACATTTGTAGGTTAACGCTGACAATCTTAAAGCGCACCCCCAGAGGACCTCCAGCTATCTCACAAAGGGGCCGTGCAACACAATCGAAACTGTATCTAGCCATGGAACAGGACACCTGTGTTTCTGCCAGCCCCTGCTTCTTGGCTCAGTGAATCGAAACCAGTCCCTCAATCTAATCTTCCAGCTTAGAAAGAAGGAACAGGGATGCGTACTGTCTCCCCCTTCACAGAAATGCCCCAAAGGATCTGGAAATTTCCTTTTCAAGTCAAGAAGACTTGAAATGCTTCTTGCTTCTTGAGGAATGGCCTGCATGCTTTTAACAGGTTTTACAATCATCTTTATTAACAAGGACTCGTTGGAGAAAGCCATCCTCCTGTTTCAAACCCAGGCTGTCTTCTCCCTTTACTCCCACAGCCACTGCTGCTGTGGGAGTTACTTCTAACCAAACGATGACAGAATTCCAGCTTCCGCCCCAGCCACCCTGGGTACACACTCCGTAGGGCTCTCTTGGCCACCCTACCCTTCTCATCAGCTCAAGCTTTCCTGAGATCAGAGTTCCAGCTTCTGGAACCGTGTATTTTTATCTCCTGACAATACCTAATTCAGAATAGAGCTTTAAGGAAGCATGTCATAAACGACTGGTATATTAATTTCATTGTCAGAGTTTTAGAGCTGGACAAATAATATAATATTAATAATAGTGAACTACGTGTGTGCCAGGCACCATCGTAAGCACCTGAGTGCTTCCTCTCATTTGTTCTCACAACAGTCCTGTGAGGCACGTTCTATTATTATTCTCTAATTCTAAAGATGAGGAACCAAAGAGAAGTTAAACAACTTCCCCTTTGTCACTAAATAGTAAGTGGCAGAGCCAGGACTCAAGTCCATGTGGTTTTGACTCCAGAAGTCAGATCCTGAACGACATACTAGAAAGCTCCTCGTATTATATGATCCTTGAATATAATATGCTCCTAGTACACAACATGCTCCTTATATTATTGACAAGGAGCCTGAAGCCAAGGAATCAATTTGTCAGGGCCTCCCAGCTGGTGGCAGAGCTGGTGGATCTGGTCCCCGTCTGTTGGCCCCTGTCCTGGGGTGCCTTCACTATACCACATCACCTCTTGAGGGTCCCCCCCAACCTGTGTGCAAATTCCAGGCTTGCCTCCAAGAGAAACCACCCATGGCAGCTCTGGATCAGACAGTGGCCAAGGGACTTTCAGTTCAGTTGCCTGGGTAGGAGCCACAACCAGACAGCCAAATTTGTTCCTGCCAGGCCAGGGAGCCGGGGGCCGGGGGATAGCTTGATTTTTGCTGCTCTCACCCCCTGCAGCCCGGCAATGGCTCCCTCCCACCAGGGCCTCTGTGGAGGTCAGGGGCAGGCCAAGGAGCCCTGGGCAACTTCCTCAGGAGTGTGTGTCCACGTCCTGCCCACACCCCCATGGGCACTATTGATGAGGTCAGCCCCGTTCTCTGCCACAAATCCCACAACAGCAGCCCTGACGCACCTTGAGCCAGTCAGCACAATGCCAATCCAACAAGCGAAAGGGCAGTGCCAGGAGTACTGTTAGAAATGCCATCTGGCTTAAGTGGTTGCTTCTTTTTTTTTTTTCCAAAGTGTGTGTGAGGTGAGGGGAGGGGAGGGGAGACTAAGAAGGCCACAAAACCAAGAGCTAAGTTGAACTCCAAAGAAGTCAGAGGAGAAGGCTCTGGGCAGGAAGGTGATGTCGGTGGTTGTAGGAAGGGGCCCCTCAGAGCTGCGTCAGGCTGGCCTGGCCTTCTGGTGGGGAGTGAGAAATGAATCAGCTCACAAGACACAGGGGCCAGCAGGTGCTGGCTCTGCTTGGAGCTCCTGGGGGAGAATGAGGGCACCATTGGAAAGTGACAAGCCGGTCGTCAGAGAGGTGGGAGCTGTATGTAGTCAACAGAGAAGAAAATAGCTGGCACCACCTGAGACTGTGGGGCACTCAGTGTTTCTGGGATGCACAACCCCAGGGGGCACCTTCCCATTGAGTTCCATGGAATACTGGGCTCAGGGTCGGTGAAAAACTAGAGCAGGTCAAAAGGGATTGGAAAGGCTTCTTGTCCCAGTGAGAGGGATGGGGAAAGGGAGGCAGGCACACATTTTATTCCGCCTTTATTCCTCCATGCCCTCAAGAGGTTTATTTTCTCCCTCTCTCCTGCAGATATGATTCAGCTATTAAAGACCTTAAAGAGGCCTTGACTCAGCTTCGAGGGAACCAGCTGATAGACTACAAGATCCTGGGGCTACAGTTCAAGCTGTTTGCTTGTGAGGTAAGGAAAGAGGGCCCAGCCTGGGCTGGAGTCGTGGGTAGTGGCCGAGGGGCAGCTGGCGGTTCAGATGCACAGTCAGCTGTTGACAGTTCCACGAGCTTGGAAAAGGTATTTCGTCTCCTATGCCTTGGGACTCAGATTTTCCCTTAAGAAAAGACTCAGGTGATTACTCCAGGATCATCGTGGAGTATTCAGTTACCTTAGGGCACTCATTTTATTAATGTGAGGCTCAAAGAGATGTAGAAATGAGCTTGCTGAGCTCTCTGAAGGGAGGCTGGACACGACTGCATTGGCCTGTGAAAGTGTTCCTCATAATTTGCATAATTCAAATTGACAAGTTATTTGCACAGCATTATACTAACAAATCCAAAATCGTAGGTTCACTATCCATGCAGGGCCTACTGTAACCTTGTTCTGTGCCCAAATTACAGACAATGCTCTTTGCGATTAATGGGTCGGACTCATGTACTTGATTGATACCCAAAAAGAGAGTGAGGATAATTTGGCACAAGTCTGTCCCCTCTTGCTCAAAGAACTTAAAGAACAAATTTAGGAAAGGTTTCCACAGAAGGACAACTTATTTTCTGTATTACCAAAAGGGAGAAACATGACTGGCTTTGACTTCGCAGGTTTGTGAACTTTTTCAACCAACCCTCCCCACTCCCGTCCTATCCTCCAAATATACACCAGTGGCTTTAAAAACTAAAACCCCTGTAAATATTGTAGATCTTTATTTAGAAGAATTGATGAAAAAAGTCCCATTGCTTTAGTTTCTCAGGCAGGAGAAGCCGAATGTTCCCAGGGTCACTGGAGGCTAATAATAGAGGCCACAGCTGCCCAGGTCCCTTGGGATGTGTGTCCCCTTCCAGCCATGCAGCAGGCTAGCAAGTTACTTCACTTCTCACAGTCTAGGGAAATGAGGCTTTGCAGTGGGAATTGGCTGGCATTTGGCCAGCTTCTGGAGTAGGGTTTCTCCACCATAGCACTATTGATATGTTAGACCAGATAATTCTTTGTTGTAGGGGCTGTCCTGTGCATCACTGGATGTTTAGCAGCATCCCTGGCCTCTACCTACTTCATGCCAGTAGCACCCCCTCCCCCAGTATGACAACCTGAAATATCTCTAGACATTACCAGTCACCTCCAATTGAGAACCACTTATGTAGGTTAAAGGCATGGGGAACCAAGAAGCTCCAGAGAAAGATCATGCCAAAAAGACATCAAAGCAGAATTCTGTGGGAGGAGTATTTCCCCCACAGTTGGAGTTGAAATGACACAGGGGCAGGAAATAGTGGCTGTGTGGGCCGCTCCACAAGTGAGGCTGGACTTTGAGGGTTGGAGGCCTTTCTGACTCATGGGACACCTTCAGTCATTCCCTATTTATGATGCCACCCCTCCCTTCCCACCAGAGATAACCCTGGCTTCTGAGAAATCACACCATCTTTTGAAAAGAGTCTCATGCTTTTTCAGTCACTAAGTCATAAAACCCGTTGTAGGAAAAGGTCTTAACAGAAGATGGCTGAGACCCAAATAGGAAGTTTGAGTTCTCCTTTCTTCTTGCACACATGGTCAGGGATAGTCTGGGTCAGCCAAGCATTTATGCAGAAGGAAACAGCTCGTTGAAGCTCAGAAACAGGCCCAGCTGGAAGGAGTCTAGATCTCTTCTGGGCTTGGTCCCGGTCCCCATCAGCCAGCACTAGCCACTAACTCCATGGAAACACCAATCCCCGCACCCATCCATTCTTGCCTTGATACACTGTTCCTTTTATCTGGATGAGGCCCTGAACCAAATCATGGTGTGGGTGGATGACTGGTATAGAGGAGAAATATATTAGTTATCCATTGCTGGACACCAAATTACTCTAAGACATAGTGGCTTAAAACAATATCATTTATTATCTGACAGTTTCTGGGGTCAGGAATCCAAAAGTGGCTGAGCTAGGTGGTTCTGGCTCAGAGGCTCTCATGAGGTTGCAGTCAAGACATTGGCCAGGGCTGCCATCATCTGAAAGCTTGACTGGGGCTGGAGGATCTATTTCTGAGGTAACTTACATGTCTGGCAAGTTAGTGTTGCTTGTTGGCTTGAGGCCTCAGTTCTTTGCCACATGAACCTCTCCAAAAGGCTGCCTGTCTTGTCATGACATCAGTTGTCTTCCCCTGAAGAAAGTAATAATCCAAGAGAAAGTAATGCAGAGTGTCAATGTCTTTTATAACTTAGCCTGAAATGTCACAGCCCCTCGTTTCCATAATATCCTATTGGCTGCTCATGTCAGCTCTATTGGATGTGGGAGGGAACTACACACGAGGGTGAGTACCAGGAGGTGAGAATCACTGGGGGCCATCTTGGAAGCTGGCTACCACTAAAAGCAAGGACTTCAGAATCAGAGAGATAGGAATCAAATCCCATCCCAACACTTAGTTGTATGATCCTAGGGAGGATATGTGTCATTTCTGAGCTTCAGGCTCCTCATTATCTGTAAAGGTTTCAATTCTTATCTCATACACATTCATTAATCAATTCATTCGTTTTTGCGTACATTGATAATGCCTGCTAGTGTCAGGCAATAGGGGTCCAGTGGTCCACAAGACAAGGTGTCAGTGCTCAGAAGCCCAGTCACGTGTAAGGTGAGATGGTAAGGTTAGGGTAAGAGAACTGCGACAGAGGGAGTATGGAAGCACAGGAGTGAGGCCCCTCACTCAGATGGTGGTGGGGAGGGTTAGAGATAATGCAGATAAAGTGCCTGGCCCATAATAGGTGCTCAGTAAATGGTATCAACAATCATGATGATGATGACGATACGATGATGACAACAATGACAATGATACTGCCTCCAACAGGCAGCACTGATTTCCAGGAGCCCAACGTTTTTCATAGATTTAGCCTTGTGATTCTAATCACAAAGAATCTCCAGATGGCATCAGTCTGCAAAACTCAGCCCTGTCATCTTCCCCCCAACCGTGTGGCATTGTTAGTTTCCCCGAGAAGGCCTGCGAGACTCGGGGGCGGGGGTGAATGCCCTTCTTTTGCTCAGCCTTCCAGCAAGTCCTAAGATAGTACTGCAGATAATGGTAATAATAGTAATGAATATTGTTTGAGCACCCACCATGTACCACACAACTGAACTCCGTGCTTTGTGTGAATGATTTCATTGATTTCTCACAACCATCTAGAGGCAGGAAACGTTATTGTCACTATTTTACAATGAAACTGGGGCCACATACTAGAAAATAGCCCTGAGGTACCTGTGCTGTTCACCTCTCCACTGTACCGCCTCTGCGTGTTACAGCTTGGAAGACCAACAGTGCCCTTCTCTAGCTGGGCCTCAATATCCCCTCTCTGAGGCCCTGGCAACAGGCCCTACTGCACCCAGGGCTTCCGGCTGTGATGCATGTAACTTTCAGCTGTGAAAATCTTGCAGCAACTCCTGGCTGTTCAGCTCATTCTTCACACATGGCGCAGGGAGCCCTCAGAACCCGCTGCACTGTTGTTAAAAAGAAGGAAAGTGCAGGCCGGCCTGGTGGCATGGTAATTAAGTTTGTGTGCTCTGCTTTGGCAATCCAGGGTTCACAGGTTTGGATCCTGGTCACATACCTACACACCACTCATCAAGCCATGCTGTGGCAGCCTCCCACATACAAAATAGAGGAAGATCAGCATAGATATTAGCTCAGGGCCAATCTTCCTCACCAAAAAAAAAAAAAAAAAAAATGGGAAGGAAGGAAAGTGAACCCTTTTTGTTTGTTGCCATCTTGATTTTCTTCTGCTCTCTGTTGCTTTTTCATCTTTGCTTGAGAGTCCTTTTTACTTCATTTAGTCAAGTGGTTTTTCTTATCTTGCTGAGGCACCAAACGATTATTTGCTTCTATGTGTAAGTTGTGAAGTATAATAATAAAACAAACACTCATGAACCTACCACCCAACTCAAGACCTGGAAAATTAGGACTATTGGTGAAAGTGCCACTTCCTTCCTCCAGGTGAAGTGCCGCCCTGGCTTTGTGTCAAGTCTCTCCACGTGCACTGGACTTTTGCCCACGAGCTTTCCTCATGCCCATATGACTATATCACAGTCTTGTTCCTCCTGTGTTCTGGGCAGGGTTCTGTTGGTGCTGGTGCAGGAGAATGCATCTGGAACTTTCTTTCTCGCCACCCTACCCTTGTCCAGTCTTTCAGCCTAGGCTCAGTGGCAGGAGCTGGTCTTGGAGGCCACATACGTGTATTTTATTCACAACTCTTCAAGGGTCCTTGAGCACGTCACTCTTCTTGATACTAAAACAACACAATAGTTCTTGTCTTCTCCTGACCGACCTGGTTGTTGAAAGAATGCACACGATATTGGATTTATGCGTTACATGCTGTTGTCTTAATACCATCCTTGTGCTGGACATAACTTGGTAGCAAGATGGATTGTATTATATTTTAGATATTCCCAGGACAGCTGGGAAAGGGAGAAATGTCGGCAGGCGACACTCCAGGAGCACACATGCAAGCTGTTCCTCGGTTCTTAGATTTGGAGCAGTCGCAAGTTTTATGTTGTGGTCTGTGCTTTTCTAGGTGTTATATAATATTGCTTTCATGTATGCCAAGAAGGAGGAATGGAAAAAGGCTGAAGAACATTTAGCATTGGCTTCGAGCATGAAGTCGGAGCCCAGACATTCCAAAATTGACAAAGCCATGGAATGTGTCTGGGTAAGTGTGCTGGTGATATGGGCCGGGGAAAGGGTTTCATCGGATTTTTAGTTGTTTCAGTGGACATATGGATTGAGAAACCATGAAAGTCGTGCTTTGACTTTCTCTGAGCTCTGGGTAACGCTGGTCTTGGGGTATAGTTCCATGTGCCGTCTTGAATCTGGAAGTGCCTAGAAGCCGAGGCCCAGAGTTTGGGACAGCAGAGCCCTGCCTCACGTCGCCCGCTGAGTGGGGTTCCTTGGCAGCACAGGGGACGCGGGAGGCTGGAGGCTGGAACCGGGCACGTGAAGGGGAAGCTATGCCGGCTTGCTCAGCACTGAGTCCTCGCAGCAGCATGGCACAGTGCCAAGCACATGACGGGCTCTCAGCAAAAATGTATTGGTTATGTGAACGAATGGTGAAAATTATCCTCTGTTTGTCTGAGCACATTTGGGATGATGACGCTAGTTTTAAATAAGGTTTTTAGAACACCAGGAACAAGGGGGCTCAAGTCAGTTTTTGTATGTCTGTCCATGTAAGCAGACAGCAATCCCAAGAGAGCACTGTCATGGGCCTTGCTTGGGTCCTGGGCCACCCTTGTGGTTGTGGTACCTCCTGTGCTGTGAGTGACAGCCCCACCCCGGCCACACAGAGAGGAAGAGGGGTGCCTCCCCAGGAAAAGAGGGGGCTGGGCAAATAACACTGACAGACGTCCACACAGCCTCTCATTATAAGATGAAATTGAAACCAACTGTTCCTACCTTGGATACCCGGAAATAGTAACACGTTCAGTCCTTACAAATTTTGAAAAAATACTGTCATGAGATTATCTTGATGGATCTGTTCAGTGAGGGAGGCAAGTAAGGCATCGTAACTCCCATTTCACAACCGAGGAAATACTCTGTTCTCTGTGTTATAGAAACAGAAGCTGTACGAGCCGGTGGTGATCCCTGTGGGCAGGTTGTTTCGACCAAATGAGAAGCAAGTGGCTCAGCTGGCCAAGAAGGATTACCTGGGCAAGGCGACGGTAAGTGGGACCTCTCAGCTTCCTCTGAGTCTCCCATGGCCTGGGCCACGTGGAGCAAGGGGAAAGGGACTGTTGGGAACAGGGCACCCACCTGGGGTTGTGGTCTGGTTGACAGCGAGAGATGGTTTACAGTGTGGAGGTCTTGCTGAAAGGTGAGCAAATGCTTTATTTTCTCCAGGCTCCTCTCATTCCTCCCTTCCAACCTGACCCGGGGTGAGAGCCCCAGGGTTACTCACAGGTGCTGAGTCCTGGGGTCTGAACCAGTGGAAAGAAAACGACTACAAGGTGCACTAATGTGGAGAGAACCTGTTAGGGAAATGGACCAACATGGCATCCTCTTGGCTTAATGCTCCTCGTAGTCTCACTTCCACAGCCAATGATTAGACAACTTTTTTTTTTTTTTTTTTTGAGGAAGATTAGCCCTGAGCTAACTGCTGCCAATCCTCCTCTTTTTGCTGAGGAAGACTGTCCCTGAGCTAGCATCTGTGCCCATCTTCCTCTACATTTTTTTTTATGTGGGATGCCTCCACAGCATGGCTTTGCCAAGCCGTGCCATGTCCATATGTGGGATCTGAACCGGCAAACCCCAGGCTGCCAAAGCGGAACATGCGAACTTAACCGCTGCGCCACCAGGCCAGCCCCTAGACTTCTTCTTAAACTGGACTCTTTCTGAATCTGGGTCTCAAATTCTCTCAGAAATTATCCAAAATGAGTCAATAGTCCTCTTCCCAAACTGCACTTGACTCTGACACATTAGTAGGGCTGAAGTTGCCTACTGACAGGATAGCTGGTTGTGGCACAGTAGTTCAAGAGAGTTCCAGAGAGCCTGGGTTAGTGGAAACACCCCACTGTCCATCAATTGGTGAATGGATAAACAAAATGTGTTATGGCCAGACAATGGAATATTACTCAGCCATAAAAAGGAACGAAGTACCGATACAAGTTAAAACATGGATCAACTTTGAAAACATCACCCTGTGTGAAAGAAGCCAGATGAGAAAGCCACATGTTATATAACTCCATTTATATGAAATATTTATAATAGGTAAATGTACAAAAATAGAAAGCAAACTAGTGATTGCCAGGTGCCAAGAGGAGGGGACATGTGGACTAACTGCTTAATGGGTATGGTGTCTTCTTTTGGGGTGATGAAGATGTTTTGGAACTAGATAGAGGTGGTGGTTGCATAGCACTGTGATTGTACTAAATATCACTGCATTGTTCACTTGAAAACGGTTAATTTTATATTATGTGAACTTCACCTGAATAAAAAATTCAGAAAAAAAAATATACAGAGAGAGCCTGCTGGAGTAGTGGGGGTGGGGAGGGAACTAGTTTCTTCAGTGGCTGGAACTTCTAACTCAGAGGGTCAGCATCCAATCCTTAGCCACTGTCCACTTCTGGAACCAGACGTCAGTGAGAATGGATCTAGGGTGTGAGAAAGGAGGGAATCTTGGGGAAACCCCAGAAGGGTGAAGAAACAGTGCCGGCAGAACCCTCACGCCCTCCTTCCTCGATTTCAGGTCGTGGCATCTGTGGTGGATCAAGACAGTTTCTCGGGGTTTGCCCCTCTGCAGCCACAGGTGAGACAGTCCTGTTCTCCATGGATCCAGGTCTCCAGAGCTCTCTGTGAAACATCCAACTGGGGAGGATATTGGTGCCGCACCACCTGCCTCATTTTAAGGGCTCCTTCAACTGACCTCTCAATGCTGCCGAGGGATCTGCCTGACCGTCCTCATCACAGGGCCCAGGACTGGTAGGGAAGAAGGCAGTTTTAGGTTGAACCTCTAGTCCTCAGAGACTAGCCCTCTTGCTTCCCCTCAAATTCCAGTCTTCACTTCTCTAAGTTCTAAGAGAGCTTCTGTTGATGGTCTCTACTGAAGCCTCGACTATTCTCTCAGAAAATTGAAATGCAAGCTATGGAAGACTTTTTAACAATGCCTCTTCTGGGACACAGGGGCTAGTAGGGGACTCCCATGTGGCCTGGGGCCTGAGGCCCTGGGCTCTCCTGGCTCCATCCATCTGCCTGGGGCAGAGGATTCCCCCAGGAACACAGGCAGGGTGCCCAGAGTGAACCATTTTTCCACCCAAGCTGGGCTCAGAGAGATGGTCCCAGGTGGACTGGATGACAGTGGGTCTAGAAATGCAAAGGCAGAGCTTCCTTGTGAAGGGGAGCGGGTTAGACAGGCTGAGGAAAATTCAAGCTCTGTTGCAATAGAGCTATGATGAGCAAGGACGTGGGTCAGCCCCAGCAGAGAGAGGGTTTTCCGAGTGTGGCGCCTCCACTCCAGTCTGCACACACCTGGTCACTTCCGAGAGCGGTGCTGATGGTCTGTCAGGTGAGAACCATGACTGCTGGCCTAGAATGTGACCAAGGCTGGGGCTCTGGAGGGTGAGAAGAACAAAGGGGGTTAGAAGGAGATTCGAGATTCTTTGATCTCCTTCTTCACAATAAAGTCAAATAAAGCCTTGCAGAGGTCCCTGGGGCTTCAGAGCAGCCAGAGAACTCCAAGAGGGGGAAGAAGCCCAGATGACTAGACTCCATGGTGGTCAGCGTAGAACGGGGAACAGACATTGAAAGCAGATTCTTGCCTGGTCAGTGGATCTTGAGTGGATTTTAAATACCCACAAGTGTCATGTGATATAGCAGACATTAATTATAGAACAGAGCTTTTGGAAACTGTCCCAGGAAAGGGATGGAGCTCAAGGTCAAAAGCACCCTTGTGACGCCATGTTGCTCTGTGACAGCTAAACTTCTCCAGAAACCAGGTCTGGCTCCAGATGAATTGCTGTGCTGGTGAAACCTGTACCCAGGGAGCTGGTGGGAGGTGTTATTTTCCAGTGTTTAGTCAGGGTGCACTGCGCCCTCTCCCTAGGCTGTGTTCTGATGGAGCCAGCAATGCATTCTTTGATTTTCTGGTCTGGAAGGAGTCTCAAATTACCACTAACAGTCTGTTCTCTCTCCCCCTCCTTCCCTTCGTCATTTCTCCTGAATGTTCGATAGGCAGCTGAGCCTCCGCCCAGACCCAAAACCCCAGAGAGCTTCAGGTGAGTTAGATTTCGGTCGATATGTGGAATATCCAAGCTCCAAGCCTGAACTGCTGCCATACAGCGGCTGAGAAGATGAAGCTGGGGTCAGGGTCTAAACCTTCTGTGATGTAGCCTAGCGTGTGGGTTCCTTCTGCTTTCAAGGTTAGAATGGAGTGACAGCGTGGGGGTGGGAGTCTCGACTGTGGTAGGACTGACCGTGGGGGCCTGGCCACATCTACGTGGTGTCCTTGTGTCCCCAGGTCAACATGCACAGTCACTCCTATAATGAGGGACTGTTGCTGAAGTCCAGCGGCGTCCCATGAACACAGCCCCTTGTGTTCAGAGCACTGGCCTCTGGTTGGAGAGATGTTTTGAACCTACTGCAGGCCCCTCAGAGGAGGGGCAGCTGGAGCTCCCTGGTGTCAGGCGAGCAGAGTGAGAAGCTAGAATGGTGGCTCCTCTCCTGTGTGGGCGTTTGTCAGTCCCTATGGGCACAGGTTTTTTGAAGAAAGAGGAAGGATTCGAGAAAGAAGTCATTCTTCTGTAAGAAGAGAAACAAAGGATGGCATAACCTACAGCTTTCTGACAAATTTCCTCTAAGTAAGGAAGCAAGCCCCACCTAATAAAGAAGGTTTAAAAACAGTGAAGAAAGTACCAAAGCAGCTATAAAAATGAGGGGGCTGATTAGCTCATTCCTAAACTGTCTGTCTGCTGGAGGAGTCTGTATCCCCTGCGTAAATAGACACGAGGTTTGGAAACAAAAAGAAGGGCTGAGGGAAAGTAACAAAGGGAAGTGTGACAGGGAACCCACCAGCAGGCCCAGAGTGGGTGGAGGGAGCGAGCGTGGAAGTCAGCGTGACGGGGCCTCCAGGCCAGCCTCTCAGTTACACATTCCAAAGTGGCACAAATGGGACGTCCCAGAGCCCTGAAGAGCTGTCGGTCTTGAGGAAGTGGTAAAGGGGAAATGACACTGCATAACAGCGGCAAGGCAGGCTCGGCACCTCTTTACACATCCCCCATCCTCCTCCCAGCCCGGCTCTGCTTCTCATCCTCTCCCCCATGTGCCTGATACGCTGGCTCTGGGTGATTTCTCCTCCCTACTCCCCATTCACCTTCTGCACCCAGCTGGCTCTCACCTCTCTTCCACCTTATACCCGTCCCTTTGCCACACTCACCTGATCCAACCCAGCTCAGACTTGGGAGCTGACCAAGCACACCCAGGGACCTTCCTGCTCAGAAGGGAAGAGAGGGCAAGCATTGCAAGGCCTTGTTGTCTAGTGTTGTTTTGTTCTGTTTATTTTTGACCCACTGCACGTATGGTTACGGGGCACGTTTGTGTGCAGTTTCCTACCTAGTCCTCTTGGGGGCCTGGGCAGGCAAGCACCCTGCTCAGGGTCACATAGGCAGTTAGATGTGGAGTTAGAGGGAGCCTGGAGCTTGTCTCCTGGCTCCAAGTCCACTGTGCTTGTCCCTTAGTGCCATGGGAGGGGAGGCGGTCCAGGCTAGACAGAGGACAGGATCTTGTGTCCACCTCCTGCAGGGCTCTGGAAGGGGAAGCTCACCGTGTGCTGTTTGGGTTTGTGCCTAAGACACCAGAGGAGCTCCAGGTCATGCCGGGGAACATCGTCTTTGTCTTGAAGAAGGGCAATGATAACTGGGCTACCGTCATGTTCAACGGGCAGGTATTCAGAGGACCAGGGGGTGGTGTTTTTGGACACGGGAGATGGCAGATGCAGATGGCAGAGTTTTCTGAGGGGCAGTATCTGCTACCCTATTTGCAGACCAGCTACTTCCTTTGGGCTGTACACCCATCCCTCCCCCATGTCTCTGGGCTGTTCTATGGTGTGGGTACTGATGAGCACATCTTTATTTTCCCCGTTCTGATTCCGTGACGTTGCACTGCAGAAGGGGCTTGTTCCCTGCAACTACCTTGAACCAGTTGAGCTGTGGATCCATCCTCAACAGCAGTCCCAGGTAATGTAATACCAAGGCCTGACGCATTTCCCTCCCGCATAGACAGATCTCTCCACGGAGGGGAGAAGAGCAGTATGAAAGAGGCACTGTCATAATCACTGAAGAAAGATTCCCTAGTCCTGGACCTGCCTTAAGTTGGCACTAGCTGTCCAGAGCTGAACCTGGGGATGAAGGAAAAGCCCAGATGTGCTGAGTGGATGCATCAACAGGACCTATTGGGCCCACCCACCTCTATGATTCTTCCTGGAGCGGGGTGACTTGACCAAAGCCTATAGTATATGAAGGTTAGGTCTTCCCAGATGTGTATTCTTTACTCAAAAGAAGAATAGTCAATGTGTTGGCTGGTGAAATACCATGAAAAATTGAGGTCTCCTTTAGAGCACTGAATCAGAGGAGAGCTTACCAGCCACTGCTTCTGAAGCTGCTACCACCCCCTCCATCACCCCTCAAAGGCCTGCCCTTCGCTGCTGAGAGGTCTTTGTTGGATTTGAGGAGACATGTTGATGTCTGATGGCAGTGGAACCTGTCTCTCTCTAGGCTGCAACCAGTTGTCCTCTGTGTTTTGGCCCTCCCTGATCAGTCACTATATCTAGATGACTTGAAAAGTTTTAAATGTCATACAAATGAGAAGTAGAAATTTTCCTTTGAAGGAGCAAGATGTGGAGTGAGAGGGTGAGCTAAGACAAGAGCTCAGGGGCCTACCCCATCTCCACTGGAGTCCCAGTGTGCCTGAAAGGGGTGATTAGGCAGCAGGGGCCTTCTGGGTGTGGCTTAGGATTCTCATTTCTACTGTGATTTGTTTTCACCAGGCCAACCCTGCCTCCCCTTTTAACCAACACTTCCCTTAGCCTCCCCTGAATGTCACCACCACTCCAACTTTTAGGAAGTCATTTGCATCTGGCTCCTTTCCATGGAGGTCTGCAGAGTCTCCCCCCGCCCCAAATCCTACCCTTGCCTAAGTTCTGTCTGCATGAAGGTTCTCACCGTCTCTTCCTGTCACCTCCAGGAGGAACCTTCCCCAGAGTCCGATATTCCAGCTCCTCCCAGTTCCGGTGCTCCCGGAAGGCCCCAGTCAACGCCAGGTTAGTGTCCCTGGAGCAACATCCTAGGCCTGGGCGCAGGAGAGCTCCAGGCTGCTTCCTGATGGAGAGTTGCTCTCCTAGCCTTCCAGAAAATTTCTGTTTCTTCTCCCAGCATGCCACTCAGCTTATGACCACGCAGACCCAGAGCCCCCTCTCTCCTGCACCACCCACCCACAACATAGAAAATAGATGCCCTTTCTCTCTACCTGCTCCAGCACACTCATGGGACTAGGGTGAAGTAGCTGATTTCTGGAGGGCGGTGAGTGTGCCAACTCAAGTAGTCACCAAACCCCTCCGTCGTCAAGTAGTGAACCCAAGTCCCATGAGGAGAGGTTGAAGTAATTGCACAAGTTTACCTCAGAGCGGGTGGAGTGGCTCTTTTCAAATGTCTGAGGGGCTCTATCTGGAAAAGAAACTGCTGTGCAGACCCTCAGGGATGAACGAAGGACCAAGGGGAAGAAAGGCTCTCCTGTCTCCTGATGTGTGGAGAGGGCTGCCTTGGGAAGTAATGGGCTTTTCACTACGGCAGTTGAAGCAGATTCCGAATAAGGGCTTGGTAGAGATGCATTGAACAGGTGGTTTGTCCAGATCCTAGATCGATGATTGTCATGCCCACCTGATCATCAGAATCACTTGGGATGTTCCCCACCCTCGTTTTTATTTTGAAAAATGTCAAACCTACAGAAAAGTCGAAAGTATAGTATAATAAACACCAGAATACCTTCATCTAAACTCACCAATTGTTAACATTTTGTACCATGCACTTGCCCTGTTCCTCTCTCTCTATAAATTCTTTTTCAAGTGGCTCAGCCACTTGAAAGTAAGTTCCAGACTCATGACACTTCACCCTACGCCTCAGCCTGTATCTCCTAAGAACAAGGACATTCTTCTGCATAACCACAATACAAATTGTTATATCTAGGACATTTAACATTAATATAATATTATAGAATGTATATTTCATATTCAAATTTCTCTAATTCCGCCCCCCCAAAATGTCCTTGATAGCTTTTTTGTTTTTATCTTTTCTATCTAGGGGCCCATCAAATATCACATATTAATTTAGGAAGACTTTTAGACTGTAGATTCCTAGACCTTTGATTCTGATTTTTCAGGACTGGAATTGGGCTTAGGAATCTGCATTTCTAGAAAAGACTTCCCAAGTGATTCTGATGATCAGCTGAGTTTGAGATCAGTGGGTTTTTTTGATCGTGCGCCCCCATGTAGTGAATATCTTTATGCATACTTTTATATAAATTATATGCATCCTGCTATATTAACATATTATGTATATTAGAAAACATACACAAAAATAAAGGACAAAGTTAAAATAAATGGCTCTGATATTTCTCCTTGTGGCTCGTTGGCTCATCTCGCACTGCCTGCTTTCCATTGCTACAGAGCCCTGACTGACCTTTGGGATCTCTGCTAACCCTATGGGTTGAGGAGGATATGGTGGTCCTCTGATAATTACCTACCTGCTCCCCAGAAGCAGAGGCTGGGTTCATTTGTGCGTTCAGGGTTTTGGCCTTCACATTTCGCCAGGGTGAGATATCCTCCACAGTTTATTAAAGTTAGTAATCACCCCAGAGATTAAAGGGTAAGAAGTTGGGTGCCCTGTGCTAAGAGGTTTCATTCTGTGTGTGGCAGGGGCTGGTGAAGAGTGTTCATTCATCATCTTCTTTTGTTTTACTCCTTACCTTCTCCATTTAGGTCAGAAAGAAAAAGAAGAGCCCAAGGTAACAGTTTTTTCCTTGTACTACTTCAAGTGGTAGAGAATGGAAGAGCTTAGGTTGTCACCATGGGCATGTCTCCCTGGATTATAGAAAGAGTCCCAAAGGAAGGGCAGACCAGTTGTCACCATATGTACACAGTCCATGGGCTAGGGACCCTCTCCCCCCGCTCCCGGCCAGACCCACATTTCCTACTAGCCCACAGCTGGTGGGTCAGAGCTCACTCAGTAGAAATTCCTATCCAAGCAACAGTTGAGTATGGAGGACCTCTGAAAGCCCTTCATGTTACCGTGAAACCAGTTACTTACTGGCCTTCTCCCTGCTACACAGAGTACTCCTCATGATCCAGGATGCTGCTAAGAGGAAGCCTCAGACACTCACGAGTTCCCTCTTCTTCCTCTCCCCTCAGGAAGTAAAGATCAGTGTCCCCAGGCCCTACACGCTGAAAGTGCACTACAAATACACAGTGGTCATGGAGACGGAGCCTGGGCTCCCCTACAGCCAGGTGCGGGACATGGTGTCTAAGAAACTGGAACTCCTGCCAGAACACACTCAGCTGAGGTGAGCTCCATGCAGGCAGCAGTTGGGGGTACAGCTGGGGATCTGGTGCTGGCCTGGAGGACAGAAGAGGAGGATGGTTCTGTGCCGATGTTCTCTGATTCAGTTCCTATTATCTCTACCCAGCTATCGGCCTAGGGACAGCAATGAGCTGGTGCCCCTTTCACAAGAGAACATGAAGGCTGCCTGGGGCCAAGTGAAAAACTACTGCTTGACCCTATGGTGTGAGAGCACAGTGGTGAGTGCGGTGAACTCAAGGGCTCCTAAGGTCATGTTTCAATTGGGCCACTTCCTCCACAACCATTCAACATTTATCCTGCACCTTCTGCGGGCCTGGCATTGTGCTTGGTGTTGGGGATACATGGGTAACCATCCGCAGCTCTGCCTCCCTTTCGTCTGCATCCTCACCCCGGTTGCAGCCAGGAGAGGGTTTCCCACAAGAGCAGAGCAGGCCCAGGAGCCCACAGAAAGCTCCGAGTCCCTTCCATCTGCTGCCACCCTTAATTGTTTCAAGGTTGGGCCCAAGCAAGGTTGGAATGAAGTCATAGCTTGAGGCTAAGCTCATAGTCATTCTTCACCAGAAGTTTCCTTTGGAGAGAGCACGTCAGAGTGAAAGAAAATAGTGAGCATTTATCTCACAGAGATGATTTGGATATACAACCTTCTGCCAAGAGCAAGCATCTATTGAGAACCTCCCACGTGCCAGATACTGTGCTAAGCGCACTCTGTGTGTTAACGTTTATGAACCCCATAACTCTAGGAGGTAGGTATTGTTATCCCATTTTATAATTTAGGTAACAAGGCAAACAGAGTCAACTTGATCAAGATTACACAGCCGGTCAGAGTGGAGCCAGGGCTCAGGCGGGCATTGTGACTCCAGAGCCTGCCCACATTCTTGAACACCTCGCTGTGCTGACCGTACAAGGGCAGGTTATCTACAGGCCCTGAGGTCTAGAAAAGTTAACTGATTTTCCTGTAAGAATAAAGGGAGTCAAGAGCAACTCTAGAGGCTAGAAGTAGTAGCTACAAGGGAACACTCTTGGACCTTGTCCCTTAGTCTCCAAGGGAAAAGTTGCCATTTCTTTTTGTTGTTGTTGATGTTAATTCTCTCCCACAACCATGGCCCCTGAAAACCATCGGTTTTCTGTCAACACACATTTTTGTTTGCCTTTTATGTAACTTCATATAAGTGGATTGTACAGAACATATATATATATATATGTATATATTCTTTTGTGTTTTAATGGTCCATTTCTTTTTATTGCTAAATGGTATTTCATTGTATGGATACCTCAGTTTGCTTATTCACTCACCTCTTGGTGGACGTTTCGGATGTTTCCAGTGTTTGTCTAGTGACATTTATTCTTCAACAAACATTTGCTGAGCACTTACTGGTCTCTAGATAGCCATTGGAAATTGAAAAACTAGTAAGACACAGGCCCTTCTGGGGGAGAAGACAAGGGCAAACAGATGATTACGAAGCATGTCTTAAGTAAAGCGATGGAGATGCACAACTGGCATACTGTGTCGTGTAAGCACGTGGGAGGGTATCTCACCCCAAAGTGCTAGAGGGAAGTGGGACAAGTCAGCAGTCCCTAGAGAAAATGATGCTGAAATTGTCTGGAAGCTTAGCCTTACAACGGTAAATAGGAATTAGCAAGGTGGAGGTTAGGATACATTATAGAGATGGAGAGAACAGAGGGAAGACCGTAAGAGTCGGCATAGTGAGTGAAGGGGCTCAGTGCTACTGGACACAACAGAGAGAGTGGTGGGAGACAAGGTTGGAGAGGCAACGGGGCCAGATCATGGGAGACTTCATACACTGCTGCACTAGGATGATGTGAGCCAGGGAGAAAGTCGTTAGGTCTTGCTTTGGACTGATGATTCATGGAGCATATGAGCCAGGCAGGGAGCTCAGCGAGGCGGGCCAGTGGGCTTCCTCTGAGTCATCAGCACCCCATCCAGAGTCCTGGGGCTGCAGAGTCCAACACAGAGTTAATGAGACTGCAGTCTCCGCTGACCAAAGCCGTGGTTAACCGGGGTCCCTGTGAGAGCTTCTGTTCTTCCTCCACTAACCCGTGTTTTCTGCTGTAGCATTTTTAAACCGTGCCATCTGCAGTTATATCAATCTAGGGGGTATCAAATGAAACAGTTCATATGTGAATCCTTTGGAGAGCTGCTATTTTTCACCCACAAGTGGATGTGAGACCATGGAAATGACCACACTGGGAGAGCTATTCCAGCCCATCGAGGCCTTGGGCCCACAGTGGGTGGCTGAGTCCCTCCTCCAAACCGTCATCCCCACAACTGGGCAGGGCCTTCTGCTCAGCTGGGGAAGGGTCTCTTTGGTAGACTCTCACTCAAATCAAAGACAAAGGTTTGCTGGGGGGGGGGGGGGGGCGTGGAGTGGGGAATGAGTGGGAGAATTAAAGAGGATGGGCTTGGAGGAAGGCCCATAGTAAACCCCAGGTCAGCGGTATCTAAGGATTCAGAAAATTGCCTTCAGGAAGTGGAGTCACTGGAGCTGAGACCCCCGGCGTCTCTGGCTGAGAGGAGAGGCCCCAGGACCCTGGGGAAGGATAAGCGCTGGTGCTGGGGGTGTCCTGAAAGTTAGAAAGGTCCTTCTAGGTTTTCCATCCGTCTTTGGACTAATCCCGTCAGTATTGTCTTAAAAGGCTTCCGCCAAGTAGTAGTTTAGCTCTAAGTGTGAACTACTTCACTTAAAAGCCTTTTGTTTTTATTATTGTTAATTTTTGTCCTTTGAAAAGAGCTTCCACCCTCTTAGCAGCTGTACATGGCTAAGTCTCCCCCAATTCCCACCACAGTCTTTTTGGAACTCAATCCAGCCTCAGAGGTCATTGCTACACTTGGAGGTAGAGAGCCAGGATGTTCTCATTCACTTACCGGAAGAGAAGGAAAATGAACTAACATTTATTAAGTATCTACTCTACGCAGGAACACTTATTAACCACGTTTAAATATTTTTATATATATTTGGAATGATACTGTTACAGAGTAAGTGTTCAATAATTGCCAGCTATTGTTACTCTACATCATCTCATTTCATTCTTCTAGTCTCAATTTCAGGTGAGGAAAGTGAGGTTCAGAGAGGTTACGCTGCGTGCTCAGGGACACACAGCTTGTTAAGCAGTGGAGTGGACAGACCTAGGTCTTTGGACTCCTTAGGGCCATTTCCACCTTACTGAACAACCCTTCACTAAAGAGGATCTGCCAAGGTTGGGACAAACGGCGTTAGGAAACTAGAACTTTCAACACTAGGTACAGCATTTAGCCTAGAAGGGTTTTCTAATGTTGACTTGTTAAATCTTAAGATTTACATCTTTAGAAACTGCATCCTTCTCCTTCTTTTCAACATTTGTGGGTCAAAAGCGACCATAATGGTGACTAAGATGTGTAGTTACATACATAAAAAAGTAAAGCCTTTTTCAGGGCCTTAGAAAGATCATAGGCGCTGTGAAGTGGTTCTCAAACTCTAGCAAGTATCGGAATTAGCTAGACTGCTTCTCAAAACACAGATTGCTGGCCCCACTCGCAGGGAGTTCATGATTTAATAGGTTTGGGATGGATCCAAAAATGTGCATTTCTAACAAGGTCCCTGTATTGTGGGTGCTGGGGAAGGAGTGTTGGGTTCAGAGTTAGAAACCCAGGTTTGACTTTGGGTTCTGTCACTTACTTTTGACTCAAGCTTTCTCAGCCTGAAAAGAAGCAACAATAGCACCTCTTCCACCTTTTCCAGGATTACTGTAGGTTTTGGTAAGATTTGAAGCCTCTGTGGTCCTGCCGACCTTTTGGTTTCGTTTATCTGACCATCCAGTATTCATAAAGCACGTGTTAGGGCCGTGCTAGGCGCTGCTCACAAACCTGCCTTTAGGAGTTCACATCCCAGGTGCTACACTGACATCTCCCTGATTCCTGCAGTGATGTTCAACGTTCACCAGCCAGGAAGCTAGAAAAACTAACAGGCCCTTTATCATTTCAGGGTGACCAAGGCTTCCCAGATGAATCCAAGGGAAGTGACAAATCTGATGCTAATAACCTGACAAAAGAACCTCAGATTAAGGAAGGGAGACAAGTGGTAGCACTCTTCAGTTATGAGGCTACCCAACCAGAAGACCTGGAGTTTCTGGAAGGGGACATAATCCTGGTTTTATCAATGGGTAAGCACTACTTCTGGATTATAGAGACTTATTTACATGTTAGCAGAAATAAATTCAAGGGCAGAGAGAAGAAAACATCAATAACCTACAAACCAAACCTTAGCCAGTAATTTCAACCTCGTTCCTAGTTTTCAGCTGATGGGCAGGGAAGCAACAAATGGCAGACTTAGATAACATTTTGATTATTAAAGATGGCTATGTTTTGGAAGAAGGGATTGTCATTCTCAGTGGTACCGAATTGGAAGGTGGCTTTAATCATTCTGCCTTTGCACCAAGCCATACGATACTTATCTTTCGCAAACCACAGTTCTCTGAATTAACGTATTTTTCAAAAGTGAGGGAAAGGGATACATTTTGCCTTCAAAGTAGCTATTCAGATATTGCTCTGTGTCTCTGGTGACTTTCCTGATTCTGTTAGGAACCAAACACATTAAAAACTGAAATAGCAAGTGGAGGTTCTAACTTAGTGCTTCTCAAAGTTCAGTATGCCCAAGCATCCTTCGGAGAGTTTGTTAAATAAAATTCTTTGCGCCAGCTCCCAGCGATCCTGACTCAGCTCTGGGGGGGGCCACAATCCGCATTTCTAACAAGCTCACAGGCGCTGCTGGGCTACTGACTCCACTGAGCAGCGCTGTTCTAACTCAGGGTTTGACACAGTCTTGTTTCTCTACCTGGAAACAAATCAGAGTCCCATCACAAGCTTTGTTCACATGGCTGAAATGTTGCATGTTAGCAATGCAAAGTAGTGAAAAATGAAGACTATTATCAATTTTAAGAGAAACCCATCAGACTACGAAATGAGTGGGAGATTTTAAAGTTAATGAGGTAGAGGGTGAGTATACGAGTGTGGCGATGAACTCAAAATGAGTAATGGAACACAGAAGCAGGTGCACTGGCGGTGCGCATCTCCTGACAAGGGAGAAGGGAAACTCAACAGGAAGAATTGGGCTTAGTAACTCCCAGGGCTATTTTTTAAGTGCCAATATCAACCAAACAGCTAAACTGTCCAGTTTTTTGGGGGGATGGGAGGGGCAGGGATAAGGTAAAAACGCGAGAACACACTGAAAAACCTTCTGAGTAGATATGGAGAGAAGGTGGAGTATTCCTTACTGTAATATGTACAAAAGTCTAAGATGGCTTAATTCAGGAAGCACCCATATATTTTGAAAAGTTATCCTTAACGCTTAAATAGAAAACAGAATTCAGCACAAACATGGAGTGGGTCTGGAGGTTAGTTCAATTGTATTTCAGTTACGAGACGGTTTCATTCATAAAGTTTCTCAAACTTTACTGTGAATCACCTGGGAATCTTGTTAAAATGAATTCTGACTCTGGTTTGGGGTGGGGCCTGAGATTGTGCATTTGTAATATGCTCCCAGGATCCGGATTCCACTCCATGACTCACATTATAAGTAGGAAGGATCAAGACAGTGCAATTAGGATTACCTGGGGGAACTTTAGAAAAAATTCTGAAGCCCTGCAACACCCCACACAAATTAAAGCAGTTTCTGGAGACAGGCTGCAAGCCCCAGTGCTCTAACGTCCAATCTAGATGGCTGACATCCAAAGATGATCTCCTAACCTGGCTGTGTGGTCTGGTGGTTGGGCTGTGGAGTCGGTCATACCTAAGCTTTTTCTTAGCAGAGTGGCCCTGAATAAACTATTAATCTCGCTGGCTCTCCTCTTCCTTAGTAAAACGGGGATACTATCTACAGCTGACTGACTTAGCATGAAGTCGGAGAGCATACATATCCTAGTACGGTACTTGTACTTTATTAAAGGCTCAAAATAGGAGCTATTAAAATCCCTGTATTTTACAAACACGGACTAAACCCATCACTAGCTCCAACTCTCAATTCTTGGATCATTCACTAGTGAACATTTATTATTAGCATATTTAACCAATGGCATGTTCCTTTCCAGTAGTCAAAACAAAGATTCCCAATGGAGCTCAGATAAAACTCTCTCCTCTGTTAAAAAAATCCTATCTAAAGATTCAGTGTTCAATTTCTTTCATCTTATTTCTCTGGCAACTTTTTGAAAAATCTAATTGATTCTTCTGCGTTTTACTCCTTCATTATCATGTCTAAGACAGCAACCAATAAAAAGAGGGCTAAGTCCTATGTTCACTCTTACCTCAAATCACCTTCCAATATTGACTTTTTCCTGTTAACACTCTTGGGGGTGGAGGACTTGACAAAAGATCTGTGTGGAATAGCTAGATGAGGTCATTCTCTATATTGGTTTTAGAAATCAATGTATACTTTTTCTTTTATCAGTGAATGAAGAATGGCTGGAAGGGGAGTGCAAAGGGAAGATTGGCATTTTCCCTAAAGCTTTCGTTGAAGAACGTGCAACTACAGACTTGGAAAGCACTCCTAGAAGGGTCTAGGATGTTTCATAACCTACAAAGCTCAAGAAAAGGGAGTAGTATCATTTGCAAAATGTAGCACGCCTCTGCAGTACACTGTACCAAGAAGTTACTGTTTGGAAATATTATCTACATTTCCCTGTTAAAATTTAACCTAACAGACAACGATGTGAGAACTTAGGATGATGATTACCCTGGTGGGGTGGTGGGGTGAGGAGAGTGGTTGAAGTGTCTGGAAGAGCATGAGGGGGCTTCTAGGGTGCTGATAATCTGTTTCTTGCTCTGAGTGCTGGCTACCCAGATGTGTGTACTTTGTGAAAATTCACCGAGTGGTTCACTTCTCTGTATGTGTGATACCTCAATAAAAAACTTACAAAAACAAGACACCCAGCGTGCAGGCCCAAGGCCTAGGTGTAAATACCCCTATTTCTGTACCATTATTGTCACAGACTCCTAGAGCCTTACAGGTAATTCAGACAGCACACACACAAAATTAACTTTTCTTTTTTGTTAAAAGTCTCATTGCTTAAACAGAACCTAGACTGAATTAGGCTCCCATGGAACAAGCTTCAATTCCACAGAGAATTAAAATCCTAGAATGACATTCATGCCTTCTCAGAGAGGGATAACACTTAAGTGATGAAAAGCAGCAGCGTTCAAGGAAGCCAGTTGGTTAGTAGTATCCTATTAGTTAACATTTTATAATATTTACTATACTAATATACATGGTAGAATGCTATGGTTTTATTTACCATTTAACCAAATGGCCCAGTTTTTCAGGGTTAAACTGGGTGAAGGATTCCATAAATACCAGACCTTAGGGACTAGCCTTAATTCCTCTCCATTCCTTCTTCTTGTAAAGTAGGTATGGCTTTGTTAACAATTTTTCAAGTGTGTAGGTGCTTGTGAAAACCAGAGTTAGGAAATGAAGTGTAGATTGAGTCAACACCTAGGTGAAAGGATAGCTGACCAGTGTGAACACACAAACCGTTAAGCTATGGCACGGCTCAGGGGACACTACTGAAGGCCTGGCAGGCTCCCACTGGAAATTTTGGACGCAACTCAAAGAAACATAATCCCAAAGCTAAGAACACTAATTACTGTTACTGCTGATGAGACTTAGTGGATTTTATAGGCCAAAAGGATAAACTATCTCTGAAATGCCTTATTAACAGTGACAATAGGGACAAAAATGGTAGGTTGTTAACTCCTTTGCATGAACCATTCTTTCTTTATTAAATAAAAGAATTTTGACAGTTATTTTCTTTCTACCCACCTCTTTCTATACAACGCACATTGGTTTGGAATGCTACTAAAAGCAAAAATAACCCTGACACATATTTGATTTCTGACCATCTTTGCTTTCTCCTAGATGACTAAATTCTTGCTTTTTAAGTTGCATTTTCTTTTAGGATAGAAAAGAAACAATCTACACACAGATCTGGTTGGAGAGAACATGGTTTAATTAAAGGCAAAGCTGATTTCAGCAGCTGCAGGTCTTGCACAGACAGACCAAAACAAAACAAAACAAAACGAAAGAAAACACAAAAGAAAGGCTACTACACAAAACCAGTTTCTGATGAAGATTCTCCTCTCCCCCTTCATTACTCAACACTGAGGATGCTAAGGCGAGGAACCCTGTCCCAAGAGTCAGAAAACATTCCAAACACCAAATTCTCATGCAGAAATGGGGCTGTAGATGGGACCTGGGTACTACTGGGAGTGAGATGGTGAACCTGGTTAGCTCGTCTAGGGTGCAAGAATCAGTGACAGTTCAAACACTGGAATGTTGCAGCTGCCTGAATGCAGAGCTCAAACACACAAAGAGGGGAAAGGTGGTAGGGAAGGAGGCTTGGCAGGGAGGGAATGGGAGAAAGGTGGACACAGGGAAGGGGCTGGAGAGAAGCACGAAGGGTTTCATATTGCCATTGAGTTCGGGGCATCACCCTTTCAGACCTTTCAAAAAAACAAGACAAAAACAAAAAAACCCAAACACCATGTCAAACTAAAAGCAATAATGTAATACAGGGCTCCAACCACTCTCTCTGAAGAGCAATGAGCATTAATCTCACCCCTTTTCATTGCTGGGGTTGCCCAGACTCCAGTGACAACCGGGGCTCCTGGATGTGCTTTGCTCTGCAGCTGTTTTCCAGCTTCTAAGTCCCACACTAACGCCAAACACTCAAACACATCACCCCTCCCCTCCGGGAGAGCAGATGGGCGTGTGTGCGCACACAAACACTCACACATACACACAAAGGAGAGACCTCCCAGAAAATAAACCCTATCACTAGCACAGCAATTGGACATTTAGATTGTTTCCATAATTTCCCCTTAAAATATTACTTTTCCAGGAAATGACTAACAGAAATGCTGTCCTTCTGTTTCTACACAAGAAAATTTTCAGTCCTCTTTCCTTCTAATAAATATCAAATAAAAGTTTATTTTCCTTTCCTTCGCCTTTTCCAGAATGGACTTCGCTGTGTTTTCTTCTGCGCGTGATGCACACGTGTCCGTGTTGCCTTGAATTTCACTCTGAAAGTGGAGGCTGGGAGACTGCGGCCGGGCAGGGGCCGGGCCCCTTTGTGGGCTATGTGGACGTCGCTGCTTCCTTCCTCTTCAGACTGTCTTTTGGGCCTCAACTGCTGGCCCCCATGCTGTTGCTTCTTGGCGAGATGTTACACATATTAGGAATAAAAACAATTACTAGCATACAGCATAGGGTAGAAGAGGGGTGGAGGTAGGGACAGGAGGAGGTGGGTGGTAAGTGGGATGGGGGCACAAAAACCAACCAAACAAAAAATGACCACACTGAAAGCTTCTACCTATTAAAATACGTCAGGCCATGAATGGACTGGCCTGCCTTCTGTGAGACTGCTTGCTATGCTACCGTAAAATGTACAGGAATCAAAAACGTTAATTTAAAATCCTACAGCAGTCATCTGCTAGTCCAGCCCAGCACCACCACCCACACTGCATCCTCGATTGGGGCTCGAGCACCTACAGATGAAGGGCATTTCCTGCTGGAGTCTCCAGGCCAGAGGAGGGCCTACCAGAACCTTCTGTGTGAAAGTTGAGGCCTTGCACTCTCCCTTCTGGAACACTCCCACGGGCTGAAGAGGTCAGTTTCCCCATCCTGTCACCACCAACCTCTCCCAGGAGCAGTGAACGGGGCTCTCCTGGCTACACACTGCCTAGAAGCAGCACATCTGTCTGTGGAAGAATTCAGTGTGATATTTTACTTCTGAGAGTAATAACAATAATAAAAGATGTTTAGGAATAATTTCAACTACATTCTCAGTCAGCAAAGCAATCATTAATGGATTCCTATTTTATTCCCCAAAGAGGAAAAAAGGACTGAGAAGTTCCCATTGGCTTCTCCCATCTGCCTTCCCTTCTCAGCTTTCACTTCCCACGTGGCTGGGGACATGCACGATGGAGAAGGTGAGAGGCGGTGATATCAGGTAACTGAGTGAGACAAACAGCAGTTCCCCTCTCCCTCCGGAAGGCCCCGGGGGGACGGAGAGTTCCTGACGGTTTTTTCTTTTTGTTGCACTGCGGACATTTCGTGCACACTCAGCGGGCTGGTGGAACACTTACACCCTCTCGACAGCAAGAAGCAGAAAAGAGGGCTGCCACCCGCAGGGGACTGTGTGGGCCAGTCCTGCAAACCCAACATGCCATGGTTTATGGAGCCTTCATTCCCGGGGTTGCCACTTTGGCCTCAGTGTGGAGGGTTCATGGTGCCTTGTCCCCGCTGCTGTTTCTGCTTCTGCTGCATTAACAGCTGCTCCAGAGCGGAAGGTCCAGGATGCATCATGGAACTGGACCAGATAGACTGAAAAATAGCCCAGAGCTTGTCAGCAGAGGTCAAATAGCTAGTTGTCTGAAAGGAATTTGTTTTTCAATCCCAGCGAAATACGAAGACATATATGTCCCAATATCCCCACCCCCTAAAAAAATCCAGCTATTAGAAAAAGTCATCTTAAGACTGTCTTCAAGACTAGTTAGTTTCCATTAAGATTACTTTAAACCAGCAAAGGTAAAAGTACGTTTTGTATAAAGTCTTTTTACTAAAACTCAGCTCCATATGGGAACACAGAGTTTTTATTTATTTATTTACTTACTTTTGAGGAAGATTAGCCCTCAGGTAATCTGCTGCCAATCCTCCTCTTTTTGCTGAGGAAGACTGGCCCTGAGCTAACATCCGTGCCCATCTTCCTCTATTTTATATGTGGGATGCCTATCACAGCATGGCTTGCCAAGTGGTGCCATGTCTGCACCGGGGATCTGAACTGGCAAAACCCGGGCTGCCGAAGCGGAATGTGTGCACTTAACCAGTGAGCCACCAGGCCAGCCCCTACAGAGAATATTATTATAAAGGTTTTAAGCAAATGAAACATTTCTAAAATTAGACCCCCTTCTTTTATTTGCTCAGAAAATGCTTAAATCAACCATTCCAAGATGAATCAGAATTTTCTTAACCTTAGAATACAACTAAAACCTTGGTGTTTCTGCCCCCGTGAAGCTACTGCTTTATCACTAGTGAATTCACAAATTAAAAAAAAAAATCCCATTCAAGAATTTTATAAGGCAGACCATGTTTCTAGGACTTTGCTAGATATGTATTATGAATTAATTAACTCTAAGGGCCTTAGCAATAAGCCTAGCTATGTGAATGAAAGCAGAGACATCTCTTGTGGTTCTTGTTCCTAAAATCCACTCACCTTTAGGCTTTCCATGAGGACAGCAGAGGAATCCTCCATGGAGGGGCCATGGCTTGTCCAGGTGCCACTTGGAGTGCTGGCCTGATGCCAACTGCTCTCAGAGGATGACGTTGCTGAGAGATAATCAATGCCAAATCCACCCATGGCTAAGGGATAAAAAGGGGCAAGAGGAATTCAAGATGCTCTATTATTGCCACACGCCAACAGCCAGGGAAGGACGGAGTAAGCTATTTCACTTTTGCTAGGCAATGAAGTCTGGATCTCACCTGGCTTGTCAGTTTTCCACCGATCTGCAGTTCTCCTATCTCTGTTATCTGGAGTCCCGATGGGTCCAAAATTGGAGAATGGAACAGAATTATGGTTGTGTGTTGGAGGGGAGCTTGGCAGGCTGCTCGGGTTAGAGGAATGAGGAGATTGGCTGGCTGGTGTTGAATGATCTATTAAATAATAACAACATAGGACATTAAATATAAGATGTTTCACAAACATACCAAGAACTCAAGTTTCCTGTATATCTGATCACTTAAATTCTACTAAAAATAACCACTGGGCTTTAGGGGAAAGGCAAAATAAGGGCCCACTCCGCTAGATGCACTAATTTGTCTTACCACACATATCTAGGGCACATTTCCTTGCCTTAAAAAAAAAGCAAAACCAAACAGTATACAATTCTGTCAAGTGCAGGCACTATTCTCGCACACCTGTTTCAGCTAAGTATCTAGTGGTCTGCTCTGTCAGAAACAGAATTGTCTAACCTTAAGAATTACTATTAAATCAGACTCCGTTTATAAAACAGAGATGCTAAAATCTCTATTTTTAAAAGTGCAACTTTTCCTGCAAAGAATGAATATCCACAAACAAAACACCTGGAAACCTTAAGTTAGAACCCATATTTTTCTCGATTACAACTCTGCTGGTTACTGAGGATGTAAAAAGCTTTTTTAGTGGCATTTATTATGTGAACTTGTTCATTAGGCTTTTTTTCCTATTTTCTTTCAGAAGTTACTTTAAAAATAAATAAATAATATTTTTATAATTACAAAATCATACTAACTCTTAATCAGTTTGAGTGTATAGGAAATGCAAGGTCTGTAAATTTAAAAACTAGTCAATACCTGAACTGGCAGGAAGTGATGGAGACCACGGAGTCCCTTCAAAAAGAGAGTACAGTGATGTTTCCTGGGGGGCCATCGAGGGATTAAGTTCTGCTTTGGAGCTGGTTGTCAGGTTTTTCCCATATACCTCATTGAACACACTGTTATTTGGGTATCTTTCCTGAAAGACAGTGACAACCAAGTTGCAAACTCATTCCAAGGAAAGAGAGTTAAGAAAATCCCACATTCAGGTTCATGGATGCTTGATACAGGTTAAGTCTTTCTTAACAAGACAAACTTTTGAAGGCTTTTATTTATTTCTTTCAGTTTTCCTATTAAACTCATTTTTCGTTTGCTTTTTCCCTCATCCTTCATTTTGGTCTATTTAAACCACCCAGGTTAAAAAGTATGAATAATTTATTTGGTTAAACAACAAAGTCCTAAGGATTTCAATATTAATGAGAAGTTAACGTGTTCAAACTTAACAACACACAAGTCGCTAGTGTACCCCAATCAGAGGGAGGGGGGTAAAATCAAATATCTGGAAGAAACCAATATATAGATGAGAACGGACAGAGGAAAACAGATGTGCTTTAATAGAATGGGAAAGAAAACACTGGCTGATAATGAAAGCACAAAGCAGGATTCTTCACTGTTTACCCACCTGATTGAGAGAGAATCCGGTGAGGGACAGGAAAGAAGATGAATGTGACATGAGCTCCGAGGGCTTCTCCAATAAGGATTTCTTCACAGTCCCGAAAAAAAAAAAAAAGGCAGTTAATTTATGCCTTACATTTTCTTAATATTAACCTTAAGATACTGTACAACCAAAGTGAAAGACCACAGTTTAAGCATACTTGCACTCATCCATCATGTACAATGTAAGGCTTGGAAGATGTGAATTCAAATCTGTTGAATACCATGACACCAGCTAAGCTCCAGCAGCCGCAGGTGAGTCAGAGAGAACCCTCCTTGACCAGTACCTCTAATCTAGCACAGAGATCCTGGCAGGGACCAGAGACTCTGGAAAACAGCAGTTCTGAGTGTTTTACCAAGCATGAGTCTCATGAATCCCCTTGTCAACAGCTGCATTTAAAATACTTTTACAAGATCTGGCACTGTTTTCTCCCCAAATTTTTAAAACACTGACATTAATGACTTAAAAAAAGTCTTTCAAATCCATTTGCCAACTTGTTTTGTTAACATGGTTCCTAAGCAGCTCTATTTATGGTATATATTAAAATAGTTCCTAAAGTCAAGCTTACATTTATTGGCCCTAAGAAAGTTATTAGGACAAAGAAAAAAAGCTGAATCTCTGATGCTTACTGGCATTGAATAGTTGGTCAACAAGGCACTTATTAAACACCTACTACATGCAAGGCATTTTCACACACATTATATCATTAACAATGTTAAATATAGGAATGGTTATAGTCAAAGTTTTTTTTAAACATAAAAAAAAAACCCCACTAAAAAGGCCTCCCCCCGCCTTCCAGAATCAGCTTCCTTTCCAATGGACGGGGCCAACACAACAGGAACTAAGTGGGTAGGAAGCAGATGGATAGAGAGGCACGCCCCCAGGCCCTCAAGCCACCCCAGGAGAAAAAGCAGCAAGCAAAGCAAACGTGTAGAGGCAACAGGATAGCAGCTGGGCTTCCCTACCACCTGGGTGCTGTCAGGGCACTGTTCACATTTCTAGGGGACCTTTTACTTCTGCCAGCTTGGGGGAAAAAGTGGGATGTCTCTATGGCCACTCAACCATGCAAATTCTTAGGGAACTTTAAATACCAGGGACGGCAGCTTCTGTCATGAGGATCATTTATAAGCTTTTATTTTTCGTAATAGTAAAATCAATGCATTTTAATCTTATGAATGTTTTCTTGCCCCATGTTTATGGGAAGGAAACAGCAAGAAAGTAACACTGAAAACTATTTTACATTTTATTAAGATGGAGTGAAGGGAGGAGAAAAAACCACATAGCACACATCTTTCTTCCCTTTTTTATACTCCCTCACTTAGTAAAATAGATTGTAAATATTGATGAGTGTACAGAATGACATCCTTGGAAATGCAGACTGGGTTTAGAACATTATTTTTAAAAGATACCACTAATCAATTCTTAGACTTTTACATCATCCTAGTTATTTATCTCTGTATTCACTCATTTATGGCACTCCAACAACGTTTATAAATAGAATCCTCTTCATTTTCACTCATTCTGTTTATGAATCTGACTCTGAATTTAGATCAAGGCTCTTAGTTAACCAAACATAAAAGAGCCATGTACCGTTCAATAACGTCTTTCATTTCATATTTTGAATACGTGAGCAAAAATCTCACTGCATCTAAGCAAGATTAAATGACATTTGAAATTCCTGGGTCCAGATGGAAGTACCACCTGAAAAGTAAGTTAATTTGCCAGCAACACATCCTGTGTGTGACCAGCCCTGCAGGATGCTTTCTGGATAACACGTATAACAAAGCCATGGCTCTAAAATTTGAGGGAATTATGGAGTTAAAAGGTTTCTGATGTTCTACTACCATTTAAAGGTTAGTTTGGGCGATCAGGAAATAAGTTTTACAGCTCTGTAAAGGAAAGCCTCAGAAAAAGAAATCACTCATTCCAAGTACTATAAAATCTTAGGGAAAAAGCTGGGGTTAGAGCAAGAAGAAGAATTATGTCAAATACATACAAAGAGGCTTCGTCCAGGAAGAGAGGCGAGAGGCCCCAGCAGAGCTGGGTAAAGATCAGGAGGGTTAGAAAAAATCAGCTCTTCCTCTTCCTCCAAGGCAGCCAGACTCTTTAACAGGTCCGGAGGAAGCAGAGGGGAGCCCTTGGGGTCCTAATGACAGAAAGGATCACAGTGAGAGGCAATAAGGGATGACAAAACACAAAGGAGTGGCAGCATGATTAAGGGGACGGAAGGCAACTAAAGTTAAGGAGGAAGAAGATATTAATTGTGAGCCAGTACTATGCGAAGAGGAAAAGCCTCTGAGACACAAAAGCAAAGTGACACAAGGACAATGGTAGTGAAAGATCAAGACAACAGAAAGAAGTAAAAATATTGACAAACAGAGCAGAACACAGAAGCTTAACGTGGCTAGTGAGTAAAACAACGCAATGGAGCAAAGTGATTAGCATGCCTTGTGCTAACAAACAGAGAAACAGCTCTTTTTAAAAGTTACAAACACACACCTGTTTCTCATGAATAAAAAGGCAAAGGGGAACTCCACTATCAAAGATAACCAGCTGACTTTGTTCCTCTCAGAACGCAATTTGTATAAATATGCAGTAAACCTATTTTTAAACTTAGATGATTCAGCCCAACTGAGAGGAGCTTTGTCTCAGAATTCTCTAACATGCTGTGTTAGAGATTTCTGCATGATTTCTCTGCCAGACCATCACAGTTCAAAATCAGCAACAGAATTCTTCAGCTCCCCAGAATCAAACACACTGTGCAACTGTGAGGAGGAGGCCGAGAGCTGCACTGATTACTCAGCAGCATTCTGCAGCAGCAAAGAATCAGAGGGCCTCTGTAAACATCTACTTGAGAACGTCAAAGGAAAAGACATAGACCTCAAATGGCATCCTGGGCACAGGATCCTGCTCTGGACGGAAGACTCCTGGTGATCGTTTGCCCCTGCGGTCCATATTTGCTTGCTGTGCCATTACAGCTCTGTTATCAGCCATGCTGTAGGAAGAATCCCAGTAGAATTCTGGGACCTTGACTTCTGAGGGATTATGGTTATATGGCTCCATGGGAAAAGGCTTCATTTTTTTCTCTAGAGGCTGCTGCTGCATTACAGGAGGTTGCAATGACGGCTCAAACAGTTTTATGGGGTCTTGGGTCTGAAGGTAGTAGGGCTGTTTCACAGGCATGATTTTCCCTAATGGGCCTTGAACCTGAGGGGGATTCCACAGCTGTTTGGAGGCATCTGCCTGTTGATACTAAAAAAAGAGATGCCTGTCATCAAGATGAGGATAAAATGCGATGTTCCTTACACTCAATAATCAGGAATCACAGAATGAACTTGAGAGATTTTACAACCAACAAAATGCAGCAATTTCTTTTACCCTTTAGGTTTTCAATAGACAGAGCTTTCTGGGAACAGATAATGGGCACTGAACTCATATGCTCTTTCAGTTCAATTATTTAAGAGGCTTAATGAAAGAGTGTGTGTTTCCCTCTCCCGCTTCAAGTGCTGTGGGGATGAAAATATTTAACATTGGTGTCATAGCTATCTTAATACCTCATCAAGATTATGATTCTATTTCCCTTCTGTAGCTTATGCTCAAATAGGAGAGAATTATTTACAGAAAATACTTTCCTATAAAGCTGAGAAGTAGTAGCAATAAGGAATGATAGTCAACATCTATTATCCTTTACAAAAGTAAAAAGGAAAACATCTAAACTTTCTTAAATGCCCAAGACAATACTTTTGTATTCCCATAATCATTACAAGTCTAAGCAAGTATGTGAAAGCCTAACTAGTATTTTTAATTAGCCAAACACTGATTATTCCCCCATCCTTATTGGAGTTGAAAAGTAGCCATAACTGTAACTTACCTGCTGGAATCCAGAGTGGTGAGGAGGGCTTTTCCCCAAAGCTGGCACGGCTTTTGTAGGGGATTGCTGTTGCTGAGCTAGGGCTTGAACCTGCAACTGGCTTGTAGACTGTGCTGTTGGCTGAGCTGGTAAAGATGTAAGGGGTTGCTGGGAAGGTGGCTGTGGTGGTTGAGGTCCCTGGTTCATTGGCCCTGGTCCAGAGGGCCGTTGCTGGCTGTAAGGAATGTGGGACTGTTTCCCAGCTTGCACCTGGTTTCCTGCTGGAGAGTGAGCTGTAGGCTGAAGAAAGGTTCCTGGGACAGAAACACCAGCTGGGAAGGTGTAACCTGAGCCCATAGAAAATGCCACAGGAGGGGGGATAACATATGTTGGGGGCGGGAACCCTTCAAAATAGAAGAACATAGCTTTAGTTCCAAAGAAACTTAGCCAAAGAAAGGCAAAAATATGTTATTTTGCAGTGGGGTGGGGAAGAGGTCTTGAATAAACTTATAAAAGGCAGGGACCAACCACCAAGTAAGATGGATCAAGTGTCAATCTTTAACTTGATTTCAAGAATTAAATACAGACTATTGGCTGCTCCTTCCATCCACTGAAGTAAGTGGAGTGTTCTAAACGGGGTTTCTTAAATGCTATCTACGTTTAGTGACAGGAATTCCTTCATGATAAACATGAACTTGTATATAGACTACAGAGAACCAGCTCAAAAATAATTTCATAAGCATTAGGGAAAAGAGAACTTCCTTTTACCTTATAACATTATGGCTTAGTAATGTTCCTCTGACAGAGTATAAATTACTCAATGAATGAACACAAACTTCTACACAGATGGGATTAAGTAGAAGAAATTACAAAACACATATTTACCTGGCCGGCTGGGAAGAGGAGGGAAGGCTCCAGGGTGATGAATGGGGATGAACTGGGAGTTACTTGCTTGACTTGGGGTTTGAGTTACAGGTGTTTTCCTGGCTTCAGAAACGGGGGTCTTTCTTAGTTCTGTCTGGGATTTCACCTATGACCAACAGAAGCAAAACTATCTATAATAATCTGAAACTCAGATGTATCAGAAAGAGGCACCTACTCTAAGAAAGTATTTAAAACCCCATTAAGTAAAAAAAAAAAGCATATACCAAAGATATTTAAATTCACCTAAATTAAAAATGGAAAAATCAAAACAAATTACTTAATTAGCAATAAAAAATATATAGGCTTAGTTTTACTAGGATAATTATTTTGCTTTCACAAAATCATAAAAATACTAAACACCAAAAGGACCTGAGAGCTCATCTGTTTTACAAATGAGACACCTGATGCCAAGAGGTTAAAATAGCTGTCTACGATCTTAAGCCACCTGTTATGGGCCCCAGGGCCCTTCAAAGTCTAGCTCATTAAATAACACATGAACTACGAATTAATAATGACTGTTAACGCACAGGTAAGATGCTCTGGCCCTCAGTTTAATTTCATCAGGGCAGCCTTAAGTGGAGCAGTCAGGCATCCATCCTCTACACTGCAACCCTATCCTTCAGAATAAATAAGGAACAGGCCCCGAGATCCTACACATGGAGCCAGAGAGAATTAGGTGACACAAGCACTGCTCAAGATGAGTAAAGTGAGAGAAAATAGGAAGGATTTATAGAAAACTTTGGAAGAGGTACAGCGGGTGGCGATATATTGATTACTGTCAGCCTTTCTTTAATCATCTATAAGCAGACTGAAGAGGGATGAGAGACCAGAAAGATTTTATTTTCAGTCTGGACCTTGCTGGGAGGCAGTTACAGAGAAAGGAGGCAGAGCAGACAGGAAATGCTGTACTCTACTCCTAAGACACTGGCCCTTCAGCTTTATAGTTCATGTGATCTTTTCCTTGCCTTTCCCCATCTGTCTCTGTGCTTTTTCTCAATTTCTACTATGTTTTTCTCTGTTTCTCCCCTACTATTAACCTTAAAATAAAACTATTATGTTCTTATTCCTCCCTTTCCCCCAAAAAAACCCGATAAGGAAAATGCATTGAAGGTATTATTTACGTGCAAGCAACCTTCAATAATGTAAGATTCCGCATGCCTACTACAAAGACATTTGCCAAATCGTGTTAACAAATCAAATGGCTACTTACATATTTATTCAAACATTAATGGTATTGATAAAACCACCACAAAGACCCTTTTCCGTTTATATGAAATCATTTGTAACTCTCTGAAAAGATTTTTTTAAAAAGTCACAAATAATTGAGCAGTGTTTATCTTTTTTTTTTCCCAGTATGAGACTTGGGTTCTTGCTTCACAAATTCCCATGAGCTAGGATAATAGTGAAGCAATATAATGCTACTGGGTGGGACAGGAATTAATGTCAAGGAAAAGAGCCTCATCTTTCCAAGAATACATTTTATTTTGTATAGGGAATCTGAAAAAAAAATTGTATAAGCCTTGATAGACTCCTGGTTCTACTGGATCTATAAAAGACCCCAAATTTCCCACGATAGCACTAACAAATGGCAATTATACCTTCCAAAAAGAAATATAACTCTTTGTGGAATTGACAGCTCTAAACTGATCATTTCAAACCACTAAAACTGCAGAGAATTGACAAAAATGTCAAACCAAGTTGAGATTCTTTTCACTCACATTCTAATTCCCAAGAGTTGATGAAATAACCACCTACCATAACTCTCTACGTGACCTTACTATGCAGCATTCAAAGAATCCATTCAAGCTTCCAGAACAGAAATTCTCAAGGCTTTAGTAACAAAATGAAAACTCTTGCCTTTTGTGTGAGCCTTCCTCTACCTGCGTTATAGTTCAAATACAGCTTACCTGCACTGCCACATTCTGCTTTCCTGTTTCCTGTAACTTTTCTAAGGTGCATTTCTTGGTGTCTGTTTTCCTCTTGGTGTTGTCCTTCTTGCCATCATTCTTAGTTACAGTTACTCCTTTGCTACAGTCCCTTCTCACCTCTTTGGGAGGAAAACTTCTTCCTTGGTCTCTGTTCACTTCTCGTGGCTTAATGTTCTCTTTGAAGGTGACCACTGGTTTCTCTCCTGTGTCACAGCTGTTGCTTAGACTTCGGCCTGTAGACAGCACTGACTTCAGCCCTGGGTTCCCATCCGCAGCCAGTGACTCTATCACGGATGTTTCTTGCAGAATGAGGTTCTCTTTGGCTTCACCGGGATCTTCCAGTATTAACTCTGGGATTTCTGTGATAAACAACAATTTCCCTACCTCATTTTCACACTGAATCAGCCTAAAAAAGTAAAAATAAATCCATATATGAAAAACATAAACCTAAAAAACAGTAACAATCGAACTGTGTATGGATCCAACAGGCAATACATTCCCAGCCCTAAAAACTTGGAAATAGCAGAATATAACAATGTGGATTCAGGAACACAAAAAGTAGTTATGTAGAAACTCAGATTCTTGTTACCACACTTAACATCATCACAACATATTCTGATTTTTTCTAATAATTACAGCTACATTTACCAAGCATGTTTTAAGCACAAGGCATTAGACTAGGCCCTTGAAATAGCCATCTATAATACCTGTTTTATAGGTGTGAAAATTGAAGCTCAGAGGTAGTAATAAGTTCATTCAAACATGCAACCATTTAAGTGTTTACAGTATGATAGAAACCCACATATGAGAACGAATATGAAATAATTACTGGTTTTGGAAAGGTTATAATCAACTGAGGAGATCCTAAGGACACACATTTGGGGAAGTGGAAGAACTAGAAACTGAATTCAAACCTGTCTGACTCTAAAACCTGTGCCCTTTCCACTATACCAACTACCATATGTGCTTTGTATTTAACTAGCCACTAGCACCATCCAGGTCTGTTCTGACTGACACTGACGACCATGCTCCTGTCAATACAAATCACCATAACTGTGAGCATAAGACTTAATTAGATTTACATAGATGTTTATAAACTAGAGGAGAAGCTCATGATAAACAAAGGAGACAAGGCCAACTCCTCTATAAAAGGCTGTGCAATGGGAAGAATAGAGATACAAGAGTCTACTTAGGGTGATAATTTGACATTGTGTCACCAACATTTGCCATAAGAGTTTATGATCAATAGCATTATACCAAAGCCTAAAACGTGTGTGGGCTGTGTATGTGTACCCAGTAAGGAATACCTTGGCTGATTATCGGCGATCCACTTGCCTATAGAGATCAAGCGCTGCTGTCGTATTTGTCGTTGCTGACCCTCTTTGTCTCCTGTAATACCCTGGTGGCCTTTGGAAAAATCCAAGTTCCTAAAATTGATATGAGCAAATTACAGAAAATTAAACTACTAGAGATATTTTCCAGGCAACCAAGTTCACCTAATTAACTGCAATGGTTTCAGATGTTCCCATACAGGCTGGTTACTTGATGTCATCAACTGCATTTGTTTGAATGTATGCTGCCAAAGATAATATGCAAATTTACCACATTAAGATGATACTTTTTACTTATATTTCACTTTCTAATTGAGGAGCTCAAATAAATCACCACCCTTCATTAGGAAAGATTCTTTTCTTGTAAGAAAAAAGTTTTGATTAACACTTACCTTGCATTACCTAAGTAATTTGCTTCTTGAAATGACCATGGCAATGCTCACGGTCTCTGAGATGCCTATTCTAATAAATACTATTAATTTATCCACTTTAAAGTGGCCAAATCTAAATCAGAAAAATGTATAAATATCATAAAGTATATACAGCAAAAAACTCAATGAAATTAGGAAGGTAAATCAACTGAAAAAATAAGGATTTCTCAGATTTCTTCGTCTTAAACTCAAGACACTGTATCTCTCTCTCTCTTTTTTTAAAGAATCTAAGAATTGCCAGGCAGTAGGCTAGATGCTGAGCACACAGATAAATGAGAAATAGTCCCTATCTTAAGGAACAGATAATTATGATTTAATCTGACAAGTACTACAATAAAAACTATGCAAAGAATAGGAGAGCATAGTAAAAGGAGGGTTAGTTGCTTCTCATAAGCTCTGAAAAGGTTTCACAGAGCAAGTGACACCTGAGCTGGACCTCAGACAGGTATGGGTAAGTGCTTACAGGTTGCTAAGGGAAGGGCAGAGAGGAAAAGGGAATGTTCTAGGTATAGCATGAACAAAGTTTTGGAGGAATAAAGATGCAGAGCTATTCAAGAATACAACATAGTGAAAGTATGCTACATATTAAAATTGAGGGGGAGGGAGTGGAAGTGGCAGAAAACATGACTTAAAAACTAAGGACTAGATAGTGATAGAAAATGTGGCTGAAAAACTAATCATCTGGATGTCAAGCTAAAAAAGACAGTAGAGTAACTGGGGGTGGGTAAATTGAAGTTTTTATATTAGTAATGGGACATCATCAGGTCTATACTTTAAAGACATAATTGTGGAAGCAGGGTAGAAATAACTATTAGAAGGAGAGGGACTGTAAGTAGGGGGGTTGATTAGGAAGCTTGATTAGGAAGCTTTTCTATATTCCAGGTAAATGGTGATAAAAGTCTGAACCATGCAGAAATAAATGAAAGGAGCTGTATCTAAGATGCATTTTGGACACAGAATCACAAAGACTTTATGAGAAAAATTAACAGAAAAAGGATTTTTCAGATTTCTAACTTGTTCATGTAGGTAGATAATGGCACACAGATAAATACAGAAAGATCATTTTTTGTTGACCAAATAACAAAACATAAGTTCATTTTTGGTCATGTTAAAGTTTGAGATGCATAAGAGAGATCATATTGTTAGAAATATGAGTCCAAACTCCAAAAGAAGTCAGAACTGAAAATTTTGGACTTACTATCCATGAAATGAAAGCTCAAGACAAAGGGATGGATTTGATCACCAAGGAGAATGGAGAAAGTGGGAAGGAAAGGGGAAGGAAAAGAACCTTGGAGAGTACCAATATTCTGAGGCATTTGGTACAAAAGAAAGAGTGAAAGACTGAGCGTTAAGGGTAAAAGAAGAGTGGTGTCACAGAGCTAAGGAAAAGAAGGTTTCATGAAGGAAGGGGATCAACATACTCAATGTTAAAGAAAATCAAATAGGATGAAAATTACAAAGAAGTCAGCGGAATTTCATAAATAGGAGAGCACTGATAGCTAAATGTGCAGTAGGCTAAGAAATGACTGAGAGTGGAGTCAGTAAGGTTAGCCCACACTACTCTTTTAAGAAGTCTGATAATGAAGAGAAAGATGGGGTTATGAATTTTACTTTTTAAAAAGAACAGGGCATATTTGTATGTTACCAAACTAAAAGGAAGTAAATAGTTGTTAAAAAAATGAAAGATAATGGAAATACAATGCAAAAAGAGGGTACCGGAGGAAGGTTCTTGGTGAGGTAGGAAGGGATGGGATCAAGGACCCAGACGAAAGGGTTAGACCTGAAAAGAAGTAAGTTGTTTATTCCTCTGAAAGAGGAAAAAAAGAGATGAAGGAAGATTGGAAAACTAGACTGCTTTATCATTATTATTGATACAAAAAATGTCAAGCAATATTCTTTGACTTACATTTGGTTCCCATTTTTGACTTTCCCTCTAATTTCAAGAGAAGTATAAAACGTAAAATTCAGTGATTAAATATCACTTGGGAGAAGCAATTTTCCTTTCCTCCATATTTTTTAAGTATTTAGTATTCATATAACACAGGAATTAAAGGCATGACATACACAAATCCATTTCACATCAAAAAACATTCACTATTAGTTTGCTGCTGGGAAAACAAGACAAAGCTGGGATAGATTTAAGGTTCCTCTACACTCAAGCGTGATTCCTGTTAACTTTAATACTGCAATCACAGGCAATGAAACAAACCTCCTTCAGCTGCCACCCACCTGAAAGAAGGTCTCAAAGCCAAGAATCCTTGTAACTCAAACTCCTCTGGAAGTGGTGTAACTAGAGAAGCAGAAATCAAGATTTGTAAACATTGTAATTAAAATACTGTTGTTCAGGAGAATAATGCCCACTGAAAAAATAAACAAAAAATAATTATCTTCTACACAGAAAGAAACTATCTATAATGCTCATAGTTCTCTGTTGTTCTTTACAGTAATCCTAACAAAATAACAACTATTAAATCCTCCATTTTGCCTTTGGGCCCTAGACACTGCCGTACTACTCACCTACTACTCAATGCTGAGGAGGATGGGTACAACAGACTTTTTTTTCCAGCAGTCTTAAAAATTCACAGCCTCAGATCCAGTAATCCTAATTGTTTAGGTATCTCTTTGTTAGTCAAAGTATTGAATAACAACATTGACATCACTTGGGAGCTTGTAGGAACTGCAGAGTTTTGGGCACTATCCCAAACATACTGAATCATAAACTGCATTTTAACAGGATCCCAGGTGACTCATTTGCAAATTAACACAACTTTAGCACTGATCTAATGGAAGAAATATAATCAGAAAGGAGTCAACTACAGATTGTTCAGTGCAGGATTTTTTAGCATGGGGAAAATTTTAAAGCAAATGGACTATGATTAAATAAATTAATGGCATAGCCATAGGACAGAATATTATGCAGCCAGTAAAAATCATGTTTTGAAATGTTTAAATGACAAAGAAAAATGCTAGCAATATAATGTTAAATTTAAAAAATGGTACAAAGCTGTATCTGATACCGATCACATGCAGACGTGTATATGTATACATAAGATACAGGCCTAAAGGAAATACACTATGACTTGAATATGACGGAAAAAGTATCTCTGTATGAGAGAACTATGGATGACTTATGTTCTTTATGCTTGTATATTCCAAATGTTCTATATGATAAGCAGGTATTACTTTGACAGAATAATGTTATTCACATTAGTCCTTTTTAAAAAAAATAGTAAGAATGAGGAGGAAGGGAAAAAGATGGAAAGAATTTGAAGGCATTGCACTCTCTGGACTCCTATTCAAATGTAGCTAAACAGGAGAATAAGCTGCTGAAAGAACTGGAAGAACATTACCTCTCCTTCCACCCACTTCATCAGTGTAGAGTTCAAACTCACTTCTGAGATACTGAACTTAAAAGTCAAACACTTAACAAAAACCTTTTGTATCCTAAAGAGTTTCTCTGTTCCTCTCGGGCCTTGAGCCCACTATTAGTGATGGGGAGCAATGTCAACAGCACAAGGTTAAGGCAGACCTTAGTCTTACCATTAGTACTTGAAAGATCCTCTTCATGGGGATGAAAACTATTTAGAAGAGAAATTAGCCAGGGCCAAATGCTGTAAATTAAACAAACAGTTCAGACTTTTTTGTACACAAGAGAAACCAGAACACTAATAAGCCACGAAAATGTTATCTATAGGACATAGACTTTCTGTATTTTTCCCTTGCTTCAGCATTTTAAAGCCCATATGATCTCCTAAAACATATTTTCAAAGGTGTCTAGATAAAAAGATACACGAGAAGGGTCAAATTTCCAGGATAGGGACCTACTACTGCAGATCATTTCCCAGGCTCCGAATTTAACAACTGGTGAAAATAATTTGTTAGTTTTAAAGACCGGAAATTGATATTGACTGAGAAAACTGTGACCAGAGAAACAACACATTATGTTTCCATGGAGATTTCACTCAAGTTATCAGTTGTGGAACTGAGTGTTAGTTCTTAAACTGTGACAGGATATGGTTACACCACAGTTAATCACATTCTCTGTTCAAGGTGATGAAAATGCCTTTTTGTTTATGACACAATAAAGTCCACACACTGTTCCAATATCCTTACCTCTAAACTGTTTCCTAATACACAGTCAAATTTTGCAAAAGTTTGCAAAATATTGAAAAATATTTTTAGTACTTTAAATTTGAAGTAATCGTGTTCTACTTAAGGTAATAGTAAGCTTTTCTTGGAATATATAACAACCAATGCTGGTGAAAAGTGTGGTTAAATAAAAGGCCTAGGGTGAGGTGCCCAGGACAGAAAAATTGCATATAAATATCACATCATGGAAAAAACTGGAAGTAGAGAACTATTTCTGACAGTTGTACACTTTGAAATATGGAAAATGCTATTTAAAAAAACAATGAATATATATATATAAAATATAAGAGGGGGGCCAGCGCCATGGCTGAGTGGTTAAGTTCGAGCGCTCTGCTTCAGCGGCTCAGGGTTTCGCCGGTTCGGATCCTGGCGCAGACCTAATACAGCTCATCAAGCCATGCTGAGGCACCATCCCACATAGCAGAACGGGAAGGACCTGCAACTAGAATATACAACTATGTACTGGGGGACTTTGGGGAAAAGAAGATGACAAAAAAAAAAAAGATTGGCAACAGATGTTAGCTCAGGTGCCAATCTTTAAAAGAGAAAAAAAAAAAAAAAATATATATATATATATATAAGAAGAAACAGTGAAGAACAAATGTCTCCTGAAAGCCTTTGCAGATGTAACATATTATGAGATAGTTGAAAAAGGTTCATAACCTAAAAAAGAATATTAGAAAAGAAAAATCTTCATGCAACAAATATGAGATTTCAAGAAATCTGTATTTCTCTGTATTTCAACAAACGCAAATTGCAGAAAAAGAGCATGAGTAGATGCCTTAATGATACACTGCTTTACCCCATTTTGAGTCACCTAAGACTAACTTTGCTTTCCACAAAGGAAAATATACATCACTACTTCAAACATTTATTACCTTAGGATAACACATTCTCAAAAAAGTACAGGAGAAAACAAGTTATAGAAATTGAAAAGGTTCAGAAGCAAGAATCTAAAGATTATCTGAATATATGTAAAATCCTGAGTTCACAAAAACAAAGGATTGTTTCTTCATTATTTAAAAGACATAAATGAAGATTATCACTTTAATGTATCAGACATATAAAGAAAATCTCCAGATTTAGAGAAATACCCTACTAGTGTCTTTAAAATGAGTAGTAACATAATTTAAGACACAATGATAACTGTAAAGGCTTAATTATAAAGATCCTGATAAATCTGATAGGAGGAAGGGGGAACAGTAAATGACGGGGAAGAAAAGAGGAAAAAGGAAGTTTGTAAATAAAACTATTCCTTCTGGCTGAATATCCTTTGCCATGACAAGAAACGGGAATGCACAGAATGGGTCAAAATGGTCACCGTACAGGAACAACAAAACAAAACAAAACAAAAATATCAATCCCTGCCCATAAATATGAAAACTCTATAAGCAAATCTAAAACACAGAATTCTTCCATAGCATTACTGATACAGCTTAGTGAACCAAACACAAGTTTGGGTTCTAAATTACACAAGGGAAAGAAAACTACATAGCCTCTGGGTTAAGAAATAAAAATTCTGTGCAAGGAAGTGATGCCTAAAAATATGTATTACTTACTAATACCTATACTGACATGAAAAGGAGATGTGTAGTATGCTGTGCTATGTTGCTAAAATCTATTCATGACAAAATCAAAAATGAAGGAGCTTATAGTCAGGTTTGAGGGAAAAAGAAAGAGAATTACAAAGTCGAGGGATCACAGGGTCTTAAATGCAGCCTGGCCATTTTCTAGGTTGTGACCTTGGTCAATGTGTAGATGCTGAGCCACAAAGCAGAAATTTCAGAGATTCTACTTATACCCACCATCAAAATATGCAGGGATGAACTTACTACTCACTGCAACTTGCTGTAAAGGAAGTATTTATCCCTATAATGAAAGGTAAATGGAAAGCTTTCATTTGTCACTGTGAAATCAGTAGTTTCTAAGAACTGTCAGAGTTATTCTGAGTAGAGATTACAGAGAAAATCCAGAGAGCCAAAATAACTTTCAATCTTCTACGCTTAAAACAAACAAATATAACTCAAATTGGGTGTCACTGTGAAGTATTAACAAATAACTTATGTATAGAAAAATGAAGTAAAACTCTCTCCCCTTAACACCTGAACAGAAAATTGAGGCATGTTGTAATGGATAAGAAACAACTTGGTTTTACTTTAATTTCATTTTGAAATGTGATAAATGCCTTTTTCCCCAGGATGGCAAGTAGGAATAGGGGGAGTGCACAGGGAGTCAGAAATCTTTAAGATTGTGCCTCACTTGAAGAATTCAAACAAATAAATGAAAAACATACAAAGAGGTCTTCAGTTCAATTTCCAGAGAGTAGGTGGAAAACACAAAGTCTTCCGTTGTTCAAATGTTGTGTTTTACAAGGCAGTTTCTGCTTTTCTGTGACTATCAAACAAACAAAGCACACAAGCTAACATGAAATTCTAAGACACTTACTACTGTCTTTCATCCACCACTGCCTCCTGAAAGACTCTGGGTCTGAGTCTCAGCCAGTCCATGGAGACCTTGACTGCAGGAAGGGGATAGGCATTGTAGGACTCTTCCTGAGACTTGTTCTGGAGAGGACACTTGCACAGGATGCCAAGAAAAGACACTTAAAGAAAAAATGTATTCAGAAAGCATCAGATATTTGAAACTGTATAACAGTCCAAATTAAAATATGATTATGAGCCTTCTGCTGTATCTTACTTAACACTTAAATATTTTACAGCTTCCTTCTAAAAAGGCATTTTCTTTCCAGTGTTAAAAATGTTATAGAGTTGCTAAGTGGGTGTCAGCAGATAAAAGGATAGAACTTAGGGTCTAGGCCTCCTGATTCAATATTAAGAAATACAGGACACTTTGTTTTTTACATATCACTAATGCTTTGTTACAATGATAAAAATGCCTAAGATTATGCTTTCCAAAGAAAATGGTACAGAAAGTTAAATGATTTAATACTCACTAAAGAGGGCCAGCAACTGTGTCCAACACAGCTGTTCATCTTGGCTGTAACTATGCTGTTCCGTCTCATTGCTAAAGTCACGAAGGTGATGAAGTTGAAACAGGTTAATGACAGTGACATGAACTAACTGCTGAGAGTTGAAAGCTTTTTGGAATAGCAGCCTCTGTAAGAGAAGACAGGAATACTGCACATATTATCACAAGAACAGGAACCATCTTCAACACAAGAATTAAACTAGCAGTCTATATTTACAGCCACATGGGTAACAGTAGAATTAACAGATGAGTAAATTGTTCTACTCTTAACTCCAGTATTTTAATCGAGTCTGATGTGGTCTGATGTCTCTCATGCTGACTCTCCGCCTTGAAAGGAATTAACCCAGACAACATAGAGCTGTCTGAGCTGTTTTTCACAATACTTTTTTTCCCTGAGAAACTACATATTTTTTCAATGTGATCTGAAAAAAGAAGTTTTGGGGGTCCATCAATAAATTTATACATCTTAATCCATTAGAAGCTGTTTTATAAGAGATGCACATGTACTAAACTACTAAATTGAGACCAATGACTAGAAAGTAGATGCACAGTGAAAAACAGAATTTCAAACAAAAAGACAAAAAAATACATTTTTGAACTCTTGATATGTAACGTATGACTTCCAAAATACGTCATAAAATTTACTCTTTCAAAGGCTTGATACATTTAAACTTATTTATATTTGAGGTATATAGCAAGAATATACTCTGAAACACATGGTAAATGACAGACTAACGCCATTACAAACGTGTTACAGGCACTTCTAGAAATTATTACACTGATATTTTCCTCTATTGGAAAAGTACATGCAAGATCTTCATCATCAAATTTCTTTTACTTAATAACTGTGTGTTTGTAGTGACCTGCTAACCAGCACTGTAACGAAGAATTCACCTACATGCTCTGAGTTGGTGGCCTCAACTTAAACACCCTTCTACCTTAATATCCGCAGTTGTTTTAGATAACTCCCATATTAAATATTTTTCAAACACAAGTTCCTAACAAAGTTGATATCTACTTAGAGATGCTATCTTGGCTTCACCACAGCCAACCTCAACCTCCCTCCTTGCCCAGGGAAAATTTTGAGAGACAGCGGGGAGTCACTGTCACTAGCTTTATGGTGACAATAGATAACCTTACTTACAGTTTTACCAGCAGTGACAAGAGATCCCACCATCTCAGAAATTTAGAGCTGCCTTTGCCCTGAGATTTCTTTTTCTATTTACATGTTAAAGAATCTGAAATAGCCAAAATAAGTTCTATGATTCTATTAGCAAGATCTTTCACTTTATCATTGGCAATAGACACAATTCCATTCCACTTTAACTCTACTCTCCCTATCATCTCTCAGCCTCCTTGTCATCTGCCATTCCAGTATATACATCTAGAATGCTTACTGCTTCTCCAAAGGCATCAAGAATTTCTTTCCTTTCCTCACTAAGTCCTGAAATCCTATCTTTTCTCCAGAATTCTCCCACAGAATTTCTCCTTCAATCTGAACATCCAACCTTCTAGATAAGCTGACCATTTACACAAATGAATAATATTGGCATAAAATGAGAATATTAATTTGTATTTTTCAAAAAGCTTTTTTTCTTATGAGTATAATACAGCAATGTATCCCTTGTATCTATAAATCCACTGGCATTTATTTTAGAAGGCAACATCCTACAGAACAGAATCACAGCCCTCTAAAGGACTTTTTTGTGTATACATGGAAGTGCTAACGCATACGAGTGTGGCCTAGACTAGCAAGTGATAATATAAGTTCACGAAGGCCCAGACTTTGTCTTGTTCTCTCCTGTATCTCCAAGAGCCTAGAAGAGCACATGGCACACAGCAGGTACTCAATAAAAACTCAGTGAAGTACTCAGTGAAAACCCACACCTTGACAAGTAAATGCGTAATTATTCAGTTGTAATTTCATAAAATTTAGATTGTACTGTAGTGAGTAGAGGGTCTCCCCAAGAACAAAATCAAATTGGAACTGACCTACTGTGAGTCAAAGACGCTTTTTAACAGCAGCTGAGGACTATACTGACTAAACACCATTAGGGAAAAGCACACATTTAACAGATATAAAAAGCCTTGTATTTCAATTCCCAAATCCCAGGCCTTAAATCCTTCAATGAACCTCAACTTGGTAAACATTTCTGCTTAGTAGCTAAAAACTGCAAGTTAGAGAGACACACTGAAGTGTGGATGATACTGATTATCTACAGAGGCTTTAGAAACACTTTTGAGTATTTACTCAACTATGCTAAAATTTCACTCCAACAATGTTCTTCTGATATTTCAGTATTGGGTAAGTGTTAAAATAGATCTGTCTCATACTATGTTTAACTTTAGAGTACTGAAATGATATTCCAAAGTGTATTTTAGCAATTGCCCACATACACCCACCAGAACTTCACATACAGAAATAGATATCTAAAGAGAATATTAGTGTTTGAGGTTGAACCAAATGCAAAAATGACTAGATTCTAGACTAAAGTAACTTACAGAGACAAGATCTCATTAAGGTACATTCTCCCTCCCTCCCATTTAGGTAGTATGTCTCTCAAAGAACCAGAGCTGGAAGCAATCTCAAGAGGTCATCTAGTCCAATGCCCTGCTACTAACAGGACTGCACCTAAACCATCCAAGAAAGATGGCTGTCAATCCAACTTTTAAGTTCTCAAAAGAGAGAATCTTCAGCAACTTCTTACAGATCTCTACTTAAATTTTAGGATTTAATTTTATTTCTGACCTCAGGAAAGACACAGATACGTTTTTTAAATAATCCTTCATACACCTGAAAACTTACAATGAAACTATTTAGACTTGTTCTTTTCAGGCTGAATAGCCTAGGGCGTTAAAAAGTTATTCTTTTCATGCACCCAACTCTATAAATCACGGTCTAATTTTAAATAGGCCACTAAGAGAAGCAGAAAACAGCAGGGGACTCTAGAAGCTTATTTTAAAACAAACTATTTCTATTATAGTTATTTAGTATAATCTCTTGCACATAAAAACTATCAATTAAAAAATGATTATCTGTAAAAACTATTTCATACTGACTATATTTGGCTAACTTATGTCTCTTAACTGTCTAAGTCCTACAGTCTCTGGAATATGAGACTTTTATAATACTTATAAAAGTGTAAAGCAGTTATAGACAATTCCCCAAGTGTATATAGAGATACCCAGAAGTAACCAAGAAATATAAAATGTTCTTAGAGACTGTCTTGTTTACTGTTGGTCCCAGTGACTAAAACAGTGACTGATACACAATGGTCAAATATTTACTGAATAAATGAATTAAAAATAAAGTTAACACAATTTTGACTTCTCCCATATTTTATAGATTACATTTAAACTGCTAATTTAATACACTAATAAGAGATCACTTTCATATATATAAACAGAACAAAGTTTACTTAATTTTATGTCCTTATACAAATCACTAAAAAAAATATTCCTATTGAATGAAATTCTCATTTCTTTCCTTCAAACTACCAGAAATCCTGATGGATCAAAGCACAATAGAAATAATGAGCTCGGCTTGCAGAATGGAGATATCTATAAAGTAGGTAACAGAATCATATCTAAGAATACAGAAACCATCAAAAGCAGTACTTTCAAAATTGAGGAACAAAGGGGCTTAGTCTGAGAAGGAAGGAGGAGTTGTTTTTTCCCCACTTTGATACTTTCTGCCAAATAGCAGCTACTTAATGAAACCACCGCTGCTGTATTTCTTTATATAGACAGTACCTCAGTTTGAATTGAGGGGATGCTGTAGGCAAGGATTTCATACATTTCAAATTTAACTTTTACCAATAATTCACAGTTAAGTAATGACATAAAAACTGCGAGTCAGCGTCCTCCAAATCTTATGCTTCCTGATTTAAAAAAGACAGAAAATTCTCTATTTTTGAAATCTAACCTTAAACTGTTCTTCCAATTTCTCTCGAAGAGGGCTCAACTTTTCCAAGCTCTTACTCAGGTACACATGACCGTGGAATTTAATAAAGGCCTTGATGAAGTCAGAAACACTCCATTTGGTTTTCACCTCATCCCGGCTGAAATGAAAGAAAAATTTCCATGAATCTTAGGCAGCAAAATGGCTCAAACCTCTTAAAGGAGGCTTCAGTTTGCAAAAACACATGATTTGAGCACTTGACACACACACAGAAGACTGTATGTGACTAACTTTGCAACTGCAACACACTCAGAGGAGTTCGCATTCAGCAGCCTGTACTCTACTCGGAGCAAATCAGATGCTGGATGGTCGAAATTCAGTGACAACTACCCACAAAACTATTACAATACATCTATATGTTTAGAAATTAGGCAACTATAAGAAAAAACAAGCATCAGTAACTGGCTATTATTTCTTGTATGCCCAAATTTGAGGGGTAAAAGGCTACCGGGTTACACAAAGTCCTCTTGGAAAAGTCAACCCTACCTTTCCAGTGCTTTAGAAAGTGCTTTTTGTAGATTAGTGGAGGCAGCTGGGAAAGGGAACTTCACAGCAATGCTTCTGCAGTAGTAGAAAATTGTGGTCAGGTGGTCCCCTTTGGAAGAAGCTAAGATAGCCAACTGGTTGTAAGGCTGACCTAGAGGAGAAAGTGAAGATTCTAAAGTAACCCAAGATGCACAAAGTCTTGCTATCAGAATACAGATGATCAGTTTTTAAACCTTTAAATTAATAATGGGGAGTATTTTATAAAGTAAATCTCATGGCTACTTCATTACAAATGGGCATAACATAAAACAGCACACTTCACTGACGGTACATACTATGTTTAGTTTAAAAAGTCACATAAGTAGGGCGGAAGGCACTGTAAGTTCAAATAAGACGTCAGAAAAGGCTAGATAGTAAATATTTTTAGCTTTGTGGGCCAAGAGTCTCTACCACAACTACCCAACTCTGCCACTGTAGTGGGCAAGCAGCCACAGACAACATGAAACGAATAGTTTGCCCCACTGCCACCTGCTTTCAAGGAGCTCCTTTTAGAATCTGAAGAAATTTCAATATGGCTTAACAAGAAAGACCTACATCACCAAAAATCTGCTGTTAATTTCTTTAATTAAAGAATCACTGCTAACACCTATTTTGAGGCCATCAAAAGACAAAAGCGCTATCTTTTAGGTAATAGATAATTTTTCGGGAGGAAAATGGTAGAATTAAAGAGATAAGTATTCTATAAGTCATTATGGAAGCCAGAGTTGTTGAATTTTAGAACACATTAGGGGATCTATATCTATATTGCTTTACTGACAACAGTTACCTTATTTTTAAAAAATTCATTTCCGGTTATATAGAATGTATAGTTAAAAGGAGAAATAGGACAATTAATACCAAAACTCAACATCTTTTGCTTTCATAAAACTTGAAAGAAGAGCCTTGAGTTATTTTCCACATTGCTATAAAGAATAAAGTGTCATAGTCAACCACAAGTTGACATGAGAGGCCCACTCACCATTAGAGGGGACAAGCTGAGCTGCATGCCTATAGTAGGACTCTGCCTGGCTGGTCTGATTTCTGTATCGAGCTGAGAGGAGGAAAAAGAAAATTTAGTTTAAAAACAAACAAACAAACAAAACAATCAGTAGGGTAACATTTCCAAAACAGGTATAGTTTTAAAGTCTAAAGATAATAAACACATTAAAATTAATTTAAAATCATTGAAGATAGGAAATACTTTAAAACAAATTAACTATAGGATTATGTGTGAAGTGTCCATCCGGCCTTCCCTATTTGGGACATTCAGCATGTAACCAATTTTAAAGCTTACCTAGCCCCCATTTTCAGGTCCTCCAGTGTCATGCATCACCAGCTCCCACTACGGACTATGCTGGTGACCTGGAGCCGGCCCACAAGAAGGGGTGAGTTATATGGCACTTAAAAACAAAACAAAACAAAAAACACTATACAATATGATCTGGAAATTATGTATTTCTTCAATATCTTATAAAATGATTTTGAAAAATGCCTCATATCTATTGCAACATTAAGAAGGTGTGTGCAAAGAATACACTGAAAGCAAAAACAACCTAAATACGCTGCTTGTTGCATCTCTGCAGAACTTGGTGCTTATTGATGTGACTCCTAACAGAGTCAATGATTTATGACATCAAGATATCTAAAATCCTTGAACTTAAAGAAATAATGTTCTCCATTCCTTGTTATTTGAGGGCAGTCAAAATATAATCCTATAGTTAATTTGTTTTACAACCTTTTTAAGGTCACCTTAAAGGAATGAACAAGAACAAGTAAGTTACATAACACTCCCAGATAAAACATATAAAATAGAAATACAAATTTAACTTTAAAAAGGAAACAAAAATTAGCTTATAAAGCACTAGTAGGAAGGAAAGAAGGTAATCTAGCTTCAGAAGGAGTAATTTATAAACCTCGCAATTAACTGAGAAAATATTATGGCACCACTTTGAAAAATTTAGCTTTGATTATATTTTTGCTGTTTATTATTTGCCTACAACTGCATAAAGACTGAATAACATTTAAATCTTAGTGAAAGTTACTTCCTTCAAGATCCTTTGCCAATTCCAAAACACTGAGAAAATCTAAGTTTCTTAAAACACATTTTTATAGTTTCTTCTAATGACAATCTAAATTGTGTGTGCATGCTCAGTTTAAAGGAAAAGAGTTTCTTTCTATGACTACTCCAAAGACAAGAATGGAGGTATTATCAATTCCTTCACACCAAAGGCTCACCAATGTCTCCAAGGTGGACGAGGCAGTGCTGGCAGATATAGGAACAGGAGCTAGACTGCGGCTTCACTATGGCGCTGGTATGCGTCTGTTTATTGCTGATAATTCCCAACTGGGAAGACTTCACACGGCATGGTAAATCTACATTAAACACTGTACACAGTTCTTGTAATAACTAAAAGGAAAACATGAGCAAGATTTACTATTAAGTCAGAACTGGTAAGTCAGAAATGTTGTACCAGTAAAGTCTGTATACTTTAACAGATGTATCTAATATCCCATACTGCTAGAGATCTGAGCAAGGACTGTAAGAAAATTATATGGTAACCTTTCATAGGATAACTAGTAACATTCAATAAAAATCATATCTTTTCAATTTTCAAGTATTAGAGTAACCCAAGATGTGTATCCAAAAGGAACAGCAGCATTTTTTAGAAATACTTTACCTGACTAGGGTATACAGACACATTCAGCAAGCAACTCCATGAAATTATCCATCTACTAAATAGATAGTGTGTTACCCTAACTAGATTGCGTGTTATCCTCTTAGAAATAACACAAAAACCATCAAAGATTGGTTGGTTACAAACCTGACTTAAATGCAAGCCAACACATTTGTCAGACTTTAGGAGTTTCTTGAGATTTATTTTCTTAAGCCCAAGAACAGTTCACGTTTTTCACACACAGTAGATCTGATGGTACTACATATCTGGAAGGGACTTTTGACATTATACAGACCACCCATTCTTGCCCAACATTTCTTCTCTAATCTTACAGTATGAGAGGTTCCTCCTCCTAATCAGATCTAATTCCTCTGCCTAAGCATGACTATTTTATTCTTTTCTGTCTCTTGCCTGCCATCCCCTCACTCTTTTATCTAACAAGCAAGAACTGAAAAAAAAAACAAAACAAAAAACAAACCCAGAACCAAACACTCTCCGTTGACCCTAGACTCCTCCTCTAGCAACCTTCTAATGTCTCTTCCTATTCTCAACTAAACTCCTTCAAAGGAGTCCATGTATCATACCTGCTTTATCAATTCTGATTCACTCCTTAATCCATTATGATCTGGCTTCCACACAACCCCTCTTCCCATTCTACCACCTAGTACCACTCTAGTGAAACTGTTGTCAATGTGACAACCAGTTATCTGATAAGTAAATACAATGGACATCTTTCAGTCATCATCTTACTGGACCTCTCTGCTGCATTTAAAACAGCTGATCTTATGGTTGATCACTGAGCTTTTCTAGTTCTTTTTATCTCACCAATCATTCCTTTTCAGTCCCCACTCGAAGGCTTTTCTCCTCCCACCCTATCCCCCAAAGGTTTCACTCTTGGTCCCCAAACAGTTTTTCATTCTATTCTCATTCATTCAAATATTTACTTACAAATACATTCATTCAAATATTTAATTATTGTATCAGACACCATGGTAAGCAATAGAGACACAGAGATGAATAAGAAAATCTGCATCTTTGTCTGCAAGACAAGTACATAAAGTAGGGGGGAAAGAGAGGAAAGGGAGAAACGGGGAGGGAGAGTTATCAAACATGATAGACAGCATAGGCCAACTGAATATTCTACATTTATAATAAACTTTATTCCCTAGATTATTTGATACATTTGTCTCATTTTATCCTCATGTTAAACTAGTAGCAATACAGTATACATAGATATAAAACTCCTTTTTTCAGATGAGGATATGAAAGCAACAGAAATATCAAGTGATTTGACTAAGGCTACAGAATTAGAAATACTTTGGCTCTATTACCACTCTTTCTAACGTGCAGAATTCACAATACAAAATAAGACACCTTGAGGACCCAACTCAGAAAGATTTGAAATGTCCCACCTTTTCCCTAAAAACCACCTCCATAACTGAATATAAATTCCGTGAACCCTTTCTCACCAAGCATACAAATTATCTACTTCATCTTTACTTATACCTGTACATTTGTAATGGGCAAGAAATTTGCTAACATAAAACTGGGTAAACAAGTTAATGCCCAGAATGGCTAGAAGGCAAGAAGCACAGGAAAGGAACAAAAAATGGAAAAAAACAACAGATGACTGTGGAAGATGGCATGAAGAAACGTGACAGAAGATAAAGAACTGAGCTGATTAGGTACTGAAAGAACAGACTGGAAAACTAGGCAAGGCTGAGCATCTATGAAGAAGAAAAAAGAATGTTCACAAAAAGTAAATAAACACGGTTAAAACATCATGTGGAACTTTTTGCCTGAATCCAGGAGTTGTGGGTGGAGATATCAGAAAAGTTTCTGCTGGCTCAAAGATTCTGGGTGAGAGTGTTTCTAGTTGGTTTAGAGGCAGAGACAAGGTGGAACCAAAGAAGAGAAACAGATGTTTCATAAATTGAACAAAACTGTATTTGGCAATTATCCTGTGAAAAAACTTATTACACTATTTCACTGCTCTTTACCTCTTTACTCAATGCTAAGAATGGAGAACTAAGACAACTCAAGTCATCTTTGACTCTTCCCTTACCCTGATTCCACATATCCAATCCAAACCATCAGCAAGTCCTATTGGCTATACTTCAAAAATCCATCAATTTCTTTCCATTACTACTGTAACATCCTAACTAGCTTCCATTCCTGACCCCTGCTAATTCACATCCAGGGTAACCTTTTAAAAATGCAAATCTCACCATGTTACCCCCTTGCCTACTCTTCAATGGCTTGCAACTACATTTAAGATTAAAATTCAAAACTCATCTTAGCCTAGAAGGTTGTACAATGATCTGGACTTGGTCTACTTTCTCAATCTGATGGCTTAATCTGCACCGCTTGTAATCAAGAAAGATGTATGAAACATTATTGTTAGCAACATCACTAACTGTTGCAATTATCAAATCAAAATAATATAAAAATGCAAGTAAAAAGTCCTATTAATATTGATATCTGAAAAAAAGGTTACTGTTCATTCTACAGCTGTTGTAATTATTCAACCATTGCCTATGAAATGCAGGTGGGGAAAAAAATCAATGATTATAAAAATTTCAAAAAATAAATTGCAAAATTAGATTACCTATATATTTTTCCTTATAAAACAATATTTTGAGACATTTGAATGATTTTATCATTCACCTGCTTACAAAGTGTTTTAGCAAATACCATGCCCCCTCAATAAAAATGATAATTCTTGCTTTACTTCCTCACAGATTCGTTTATCAATGTCCAATTAAACCTCTGGAAATCTATTACATGTATGTCACATCATAAAAATAAGAATCATTGGGGACGGCCCAGTAGCATAGTGGTTAAGTTCTCAGGTTCCAGTTCAGTGGCCTGGGGTTTGCAGTTCAGATCCCCAGTGTGGACTTATGCACCACTTATGAAGCCATCCTACATATAAAGTAGAGGAAGATAGGCATGGATGTTAGCTCCAGGCCAATTTCCTTCAGCAAAAAAAGGAGGACTAGCGGTGGATGTTCAGCTCAGGGCTAAACTTCCTCGAAAAAATAAAATAAAGAAAAAAGAATAAGAATCATTTTCCAAGAGAACAAACCAATCTGTACAATCTGTACACTGGCTATTATAAAAATGTATTGCAGGGGCCAGCCCCATGGCCGAGTGGTTAAGTTCACGAGCTCCGCTTTGTGGGTTTGGATCCTGGGTGCGGACATGGCACTGCACATCAAGCCACGCTGAGGCGGCATCCCACATGCCACAACTAGAAGGACCCACAACTAAAAACATACAGCTGTGTACTGGGGGGCTTTGGGGAGAAAAAGGAAAAATAAAATCTTAAAAAAAAGTACTGCAGAAGTAGATGCCTTCCCTCTCCCTCCACTAGGGCCAGCTGCACCAAGTCCCTACTGCTCCCCCGCACTTCAGTTGTGCTCATAGTTCCAGTTTCTATTGCATGGGGGAAGGCAAAGAGATCTGAATCAGAAATGAGACTGGAGTTTTAAAACTGGATCATGATGCAAAAGCCTAAAAGCAACCAGAATGTTATGGAATCTGTGCAAGACATTTTGATGGAAATCTAGAATTCAACAAAAGCATAGTTGAAAGTAGTGACTGGGGAGGAAAAAAAAGATACCACTTTTGTTAACACCCCACTGAGCTGAGACTACTCAATTAGCACAGAGAGTCAAACTGTAAACATAATTTTATATCATGATTTTTCACTTAATAGTAATACAATTTTCTCTTCTTGAAACAATCTTCATAACTATCATTTATAATAGTTTCTATTTCCATTTAACAGATATGCCATAATTTATTTATTACTCTACTGTAGGATTTTGGTGTTTCTTTCAAATTTTAAGATTTGAATTGTAATACCTATTTGTTTCTTTAAATATAATTATTATTGTCATTACTAAACATCCATTGATCTAAGGACAAAGAAAAAACTTATTGCCAAAAATACCCCCAACCTGATACCATCTATCTGTATTTCAAAAAACTCTAAATAAAACAAAAGGACAACAGAAGGAGAAAAAGATGTTTGTCAAAAATAATAGAAAAAAATTAATATCCTTTTAGAGTTCAGGCAAATCATCATGGAAAAACTAGGTGCCAAATGATGAATAGGAAAATAAATGAATAGATGATTATATAAAATACAAATATCTAATAAAATATGAAAGAAGTTCAACATCACCAGCAATCCAGACACTAAATTTTAAATGAAAAATTATTTTCCATCTACCAAGTTTAAATTACTCAATCATTCATTCACTTTTATTGAAAATACTTAACACTGGCAAATGTACATCAAGATAGACACTTGCATACACTGCTGATGGAAATATAAAAATATAAATAATAACCTTTTAGGAAGACAAAACAACGTTAACAACAGTTTTAAAACTTTACTCATCCAATGATTTCACTGACTATCCCATGAACAAGTGGTCTCCAGGAACTAATCCAGTATTAGAGAAAATGCTTTAGACATAAAGATCCTTATCAAACCGTTTAACAGTACAAGAAAAACCTTACATTATGTTTATAAAGCAGATACAAGACTGGATATGTACAAAAGTATAAAAACACCAGAAAGATATATATTAAAGTGGTAATTTATCCTGAATGGGAGAATTATTAAAAATTTCTTTGACTCTTATATAATTTTCAAATTTCTTGAAATTAGTATGCATTGTTTTTATACTCAGAAAGCAAAAAACATATCTATTAACGTATCCATCTCTTCATTTAGACTGGATATGCCCTTCAAGATAAAGACTGCCTCTTTTCCCTCCATATCCTCTGTACCTAGCATTGTATCTTACAAACAGCAGGCTTTCAGCAGCTACCTGTAAAATACATCTGCTTCAAGGACTAGTTAGTGGCACACCTCAACCCCTCTCTCCAGAAGTATCAACTTGTACTGTTAAAATTAGCATTAATTTGAAAATAAATTTTGAGAATAAGAAACACAAGAGTTCTTTCAATGATGAACTGTGATGGATGTTTTAGTCTAAGTAAAACAACTAATCTCTTGAAGATGATGGCTAACCAACCATATGACATCTGCCAACACTGAGAGTCTTTCCTTCTTTTTCATTCAAAGAAATGGTACAACCAAAATGGAACTAAAACACAGGCAGCAAAAGTCAAGCAGCAGTATAGAAAGAACAGCCTAAAGATTTCTTTCAGTGCAAGATCCTCAAAACCTTGTCTTGTCAGTGTAAGATAAGAATTTCTATACGAACATTTTATTAATTAAATTATGAATGCTATTACTAATGGATAAGAAGGAGTCTTCTAAAGGATTCTGCTTACAATAAAGAAAATTCATTGTTCAGAAAAAAAGTTTCATTTATTCTTTTACCTTGTCAGATTTAGAAGTTATATCAGGATATAACCAAGGACAAGGAAAGTCTCTGAGGATGATGAATAATAGCTTATTATTCAAAATGAGGAAAAGCTAATCCACTTCTTAGGTAGTTTAATAGCATTTGAAGCAATTGTATTATGTATACAAATTTTACTGTATACATAATACTATGAAAACTCACTTGCTATCACAAATTTTGACTATTTCCTACCTGGCACAACATAGCTGTTACTTTCACGATGACTATACCCATACCTATAAATTCACATTTGCTCGAATACCGTTTGTAACTAACTACTGCTGCTGCTTCACTAAGGCACTGCTTTTATTACACTTTTTCTATTCACACAGTTATACCTCCAACCTTTTAGCTGAAACATCGACCTTTCTAAGAGCCAAGTCTTCATTATTTGAAAGGTGTTAAGGTAAACAATTTGGGACATTTCTATTCATTTGAAATTATAGGTGATCAATGGCCCACACAGTGGTTATACAAAGTGCTTCTATAAACAACAAGATGTGTACAAAGAGAATATTCACCACTAATTCTAGGAAAATTGGTATACAATGCAGAAACTCACCTGAGTGTAGAAGCCACTAGCTGCCTCTAGGAACAGAGAAAGATTTGCCTGAACTTCACTCCGATTCGGGTTTGCTCGATTCTTTGCCTGGCCTTGTAGTGTTGTGATCTGATTCTTAAAGGCATGATTCCAGCTGAAAACAAAATGTAATTCTATTTGGTATAGCAGTGACTCACTGGGCAGACACTGGTCCCCCTGAGAACAAGAAAGAACTGTTCGTTATAATTATAACACACTAGACAGTAAACCAGCATTAAAGTTATTCACTGATTTAAATAACTTTATGCTCCCCTTTGAACAAGACTAGACACGCAGTAGAATCCAACTGAACTTAATAAACACTTACCAAATGTTCGAATAATCAGATTGGGGCTTCAGCTATTAATCTTTTAGAGCTACTAGAGTTACCACCTATTTAGGAATCCCAGTACGAAATCAGAACTACAGTGGCAAGACCGAAGTAAAAGTAAGCTATTAACAAATTTCCATACAATGTGCCAAAAAGCAAGTGAGTGTACCCTATCAAATGATACATATGGGGGAAAAAGTTCTTTTGCAAATATTAAGCCATATCTCTTATTTCCCTGAAATCTATTTCCCACAGCACTCAGTTCTATTTCTATTTAATAGTTATTTCCTTTGGTGTTAATATTTTCTTTGGAGCTGGAAATATAAGCCCATTTTTTAACATTTCAATTTTGGCTATTTAAAATAAGAAACAACACAATGCTGAAATATGGTATACCAAAATCCCGTTATAAAATGCCTTTCATTAATCAAGTTGTACAGAGAACCATTTTAAATTCAGTTATGGTAAAATATAGTCAGTCACTCCCTATCCTGGAAATTAAAGAAAAAAACACAGAACTAGGATGGAGGGAAGCTATTACTGCCTTGATGAAAAGAAGCAAACACAGATAAAGGGTTTACAACCTACCTGGAAAGTACCTACTTCTTTACCAATGTCAACTTTTGAGGCTCTAGAGCACTGGGATTTTTGATGACTTATGAGGGTGTAATCACTCCCTCAGCATTTCTGATAATCTTAACCCTGACTCTAACATCACAGACATGGAGTGCTTGTGATTAAGGTCTATTACTAGATCTCCCCAAAATACAAAGTATCAAGAAAGGTGTACAAGACAGGAAAAACTAACCTTCAGCACAACTTAGGGTAATGGGCATTTCTAAACAGCATATTCTTAATTGATTTTTAATTTTCCATCAGGCTAATGTCCCTGTTCCAAATAATAGGGCAAGGCCTTCCACGAAAGGCACTTGTTTACTCACTTGAGAATCTGGTCATCTGCCATCTCACTCCTCATAGAAAGAATGAGTGGAATAGCCTAAATATACAAAATCTTTCTTTAGTCTTGGGGGGGGGGGGGGAGGAAATACCTATGTATTTGACTAAAAAGAACTTTCCTTACAATGCAAACACATTTTCTTTTGGGAGAAATTTTCAGAATCGCATTTACCAAAGAAAGATTTATCTAAAGCCTACTCTTGAATTTCTTTTTCTAAATCATGGCTTAAATGTAGGACTGAATACAACATAAAGAATCCAAATACTGCCTCTTAGTACTTGAAATATACATACACTTGTTTTTATGATATGCCCTAAAGACCTTAATAAGACTCTACTCTAAACATTTTCCCCTCTTGCCACCTAAGACTGTATCTAAAGTGATACCAATGGTCAAATATTTTGTTTAAAAAAATCACAAGTATGAGGCTGGCCCCATGGTGTAGTGGTTAAGTTCCACAGGTTCCACTTTGGCAGCCGGGATTTGCAGGTTCAGATCCTGCGTGTGGACCCACCACTAAGTTAGCCATCTTGACCCGATGACCCACATACGAAATAGAGGAAGACTGGCCCAGATGTTAGCTCAGGGCTAATCTTCTTTAAGCAAAAAAAAAAAGAAAGAAAGAAAAAAGAGGAAAGTTGGCAATGGATGTTAGCTCAGGGCAAATCTTCCTCAGCAAAAATAACCCCAAAATCCCCCAAAAAACCCCACATAACCACTAAAAAAATTTTTTTTTTCTTTTCATTGAAAAAGCTTACTCTGAGATAGGTTAAAAAGAAACAACCAAATTGTTCTTTTCTATTCTAAAATCTTCGTGAGATTCTCGATTTTACAGGGACATCCCAAGTGATAATACTTACAGATCCTGTTCTACTTTCTTGTCTAAAGCGTATTCCAAATCAGTAACTAGCATTTTCTGGTACAGGTCCTGCAGAGCCTGCCTGGACGTCCAGACCTCAGCTGGACCCAGCTTAGAATCTGAAGTAACAAAACAAAACAAAACAGTAGACAGATAAACAGCTAGTTAAGACCATTATACCACACCAATGATTCATTCCCTCTCCATTGCCCAAAACAAAATCCTGCTTTAAGTGTATACCATAGAGTGCTACGGAAGATTTAGACTACTACGTTTCAAATGACTTCCACCTTTTGATTAATGACTAAACCTGGTTTACAATGCTTCTGTATTCGTCTTGTAGCTTTAAAATAAAACTATGAAATGAAAAAGGCCAAAAAAATAAATGCTTCACCCTTTGCTCTTGGTTTGGATTTCCATGTATTCATATCAGAGGAAGCCATACGCTTCATAAGTCACCCCATTTGAAGTGATGGACTGCCAAGTTGGTCTGTTTATTCTTATAAGTATATCTCTTTGTCCAAAGCAGCTTTTTTCTTTTTCTTTTGAATCATTCTTACAACTGTCCTTACAGAATCCTCACGTCAGCTCACAATCCAGCAGTTGTTTGGGCACTCTGCTGTTACTCTATATATGTCAAGCCAATAAAGCCATGACAGTGAGCATTATTTTAATGATTGGTAAGACTGTTTGCCAAGACACTTTTGTGAGCAATTCATACTTGCCATTCAATGTAAATGAGAACTGGGTAGCAGACAGTGATTAAACTGCTCAAGATGCCAAATGAGAGACCGAGTGCAAGATGAAATCAGGAAGTCAGGCTCTCACTACACAAATACCAAATTGGGGCCATAATGTCTGCCAGAGTCCTACAAGGCACAATAGCCTTTCCAATTACTAGGCTTATGAGTGTAATAACTGACAGTGAGCTGCCTCAATAGAACTTCTTAATAATGGACTTATCAATTATATACTTCCACCTGCTAGGTAGGTTGCCTGGTTGCATTTCGTATTTCGCTGATGCACAATGGCCTAATCTTCACTCTTCTTTAGGTCTTCTGTGAGTATCTATAGCCACCATAATCCTATTCTGCAAATAGTCTCCTGAATATTTGAGTTAATCCTCAATGGAGTTTGCTGGCTACTAAAAATAGGGCCTACTATCAGCTTATTGGTCTCTTATTAAGTTTTTAATGACTAAATAAATAGATTTATAGATTTATTCAACCCTGCTTCAATTCATCAATGCCAAGAAAAGGATTATAAGGAATCATTAACTCTGATCTATCAGATGGACTATCATTTAAATGAGTAGACTTACTATCTTAGTTAACATTTCTGGGCAGTCAAATGTTCCCTATAAAAGTCAAACTCTAAGCCTATTTACAGAGGGTGTTCAATACTTAAGAAAAAGTAAAAGGCATAGATGGCTTGACATTGCTCCATGCATGATTTCTGTCATAAATACAGATTATGCTTCCAACGCCAATATAAGAACACAATACGGCAGCTCAGAGCTGACACCGATATCCGTAGTATGGAAGATGCTGACAATGATATTAATAATGGGAAGAACTGAAGTGCTACTAAGTAAACCCATACAGAGTGTTTTTGGTGGGGTTTTTTGCTTTTTTCCTTAAATGACAATGAAATTACTCACAAATTCTTTGAACATTTGCCTGCAATTCTAGAAGTTGAGAAAAAAGAAGAAATAAGCCCATTTCCTCTTGATTGTAAATTTTGGCAAGAATGTTCGTTACCACAATAGTTTCACTCTTCTTCATGGATTTCACTGCAGAACTAAATTCCTCAAAAATCAGAATGAGATTCATTATCATACATCTCTTACATTTTAGGACGGCCTATAGGGCGGCTATTATAGAGAGCATAATGATCACTACTTCGTTACTGCCATATATTTCCTACTTTAGGAGTAAAAATCACCTGTTCCTTTTAGTTACTAAGTCCAGCTAATCTTTCAAAAACATCTTAGCTATTATTCAAAACATAAAAGACAGAGAGAAAAGAAAGGTGTCAAGGTAGCTCACTCAATTTCAAGGATGTTCAGTAGAGTTTTCCTGCAAATATTTTTTCTGAAGGTTTACCTACTATTCAAGTTTGGGGAATTATAAACAGAAGATATGAATCTAACACCAGACATTTGTGTTCATATGATATATGAATTATTTTTCTGTATGTCTTAAATTGTTGATAAATAGCTCATAAAAATTAATGCTTATTGTATTAAATTAGGTAATATTCAATTCAATGTAGCACAGATTATATAAAATTCTTGACAAGTCATCTTAGTAAGAATTCAAGGTACAAAAACAGTAAATATTTAAAGCAAATAGTAAGTTATCATCCTTTTTGGCAACTAGCCCAGTCCTACAAGTAATACAGGAAAGATGATACCCTTTCCTTAATTTAGTGGTATAAAGTAAGTTGTGAAAAACAAATAAGCCAGCCAATACCTGTCATGTCAGCCTTCAGGACTTCTGCCTGCCTAAAAAAGGGAAAAAAGAACATTAGTTAGAAACAAACTAGGCCTACCCAACATAAATAACACCAAAAGTTAAAAGTTAAGTAAAATCATACACTACAATACGGATGCCTAACAGCTCTATTTGTGGCAGTGCAAACAGTGTCCCTGCTTTCACATCCAAGCTAGCTCTAGATCATGGCAAATTGATGCCGTTACTTAAAAGTTTACAGGATCATCATAAACTTTTCTACTGAGTAGAGTTCACTTTCTTGCTGTTTTTCTCCAAATCTGATGTTTTTAAGATAACATTAAATGATATTCACTAAATAAAAAATTTTCCCTCAACGCAGACAGGAAATCCTATGTTTCTCAATTCACTAGCCATTATATTTCAAATCTCCATTCTCCTCATGCTGCTAATTTCTGCACCGTTCCTCACCCCTGACCCCTTTAAGCAAAGGACAGCCTCATAGCTCAGGAAAAACAATGCCCAGTCACTAAATACTACATTCTCACAGCCCATTTCTTTCTTTCTCTTGTTAAAACACTAGAGGTACTGCAGCTCTTAAGGCCAGTAATCTACTTAGGTATGCTCTTTCTAGCCTTTCTTAAGGACTTCTGCTCCTTTAATTATCCCTTACCTTCTTTCAAAAATTTTGAAACTTCCCTCTCTATTGGATCCTTCCTTCTCTTCAGTATTTAAACATGCCCAAGTCTCTCACAGATTTTAAAACCTTCTGTCCCATGTTCTCCTCTAGCCGCTTTTCTCTCTCTTAAATTCTTCAAGAAGTGCCTGTATTCAAGAGGTCTAAAACTGAACTCATGACCCATCCCCACTTGCATCCCTGGTTCTCTTTTCTAGTGTTTTTTACCTTAACAAATGTATCACAGCTTTCCAGTTGTGAGGGGCAGACACCTGGAAGACATCTATGACAACTTTCTCTCAAATCCCTAGTAATCTCTCAACTCCAGAGACTTTTACCTACTGAATATATTTTGAATCTGTCGATTTTCCTTTACTTCCTCTTCAGTCATCCTCATTCAAGTTACAACCATCCCTTGCCTGGATTACTGCAAAACCACCATTTTCTCCATTTCACTCTTCTCCCCACTGCTGTCAGAGGGATCTTTCAAAAATGCAAATCTGGCCTTACCAATTGCCCATTTAAAACACTTTAATGATTTCCCACTGCTCTTAGGGTAAACAACATAACCTTTTTAAAGTGTCCTACTCTTCAGTAGTCATGTGCACTCTAAAAAGAGTCTCTGCACTCTATTTCTACCATTATTTATTTTCTTCTCTCCTTGATCTCTGTGCTCCAATCACTGGACTTCTGGTTTCTCCAATGTGCTCTGCTGCCTTCACACTCAGGGCCTTTGTAAAGAAGAGTCCCTTTGCTAGGAACACCTTCTTCCCTTTTGTCTGGTTAATGACTACTCATCCTTTGCCTCAGTCACAGACATTATTTCCTCAGGAAGCCTGTCTTGAACCCTAATAGATGAAGGATATTTCTGTTTTATGCTCCCAAAGCATTCGTATTTGTTCTTCATAATATGCATCACAGATTTTAAGAATGCTTGCCATCACAACCCCTATGCCTACTGGCACAGCACTAGCACACAGTGGGCATTCAATAAATACTATTTTAACTGAAGAAAAGAAAAAGGATAAATCATGTTCATATACTCTATTTAAGAAGGTAAGTATACAAGCTTAAGAGATTGCCATTCTTAAAAACAAAATTCGACATAAAAGCTAGAGAATATTGAGAAATTCTAAAATTTTTACTGCAAATGTTTTACATAATTTATAAGGTATTTAATATCAGTTGCGAATTTTAGTTTCATCAAAATGTTAACACGAATCTTTTCATTTTCTTAGCCTTTAACAAGATATTCACGTTTCAAAATAATTAAGTGTTTAAACAACAGAATCACAATAGAGTGCCAGAGAGATAATCACGAACCGTATGAGAACTATCAGTATAAATAAACAATACTAAATAAACAGCTATACTTAGTCCTAAAATGTACCATCACATCCAATTCCATTATCCATACAATGGAAATTCCAGAAGACACAAATATCACTGTTTGCTTTGGGTGTTAAGCTTATGCCATTAAAAAAAAAATTCTCACAAGGTTGTTGGCTTATACCCTTAAACCCTAAGATCATACAACTTAACAATGAATACCACATATCCTATTCTGCCATTGTCACAACAACCTCTTCTCCTCCTCCTCAAAAATCCTACGGGAGCACTAATTTATGAACATTATAGTGAGAGAGCCAGTGCTAACTATGCATTTTTACTGGATTCAATAACCTTTTCATTCTGTCCCTAGTTACAGAGTTACAGAGGATTTATTTTACTACACTTCCACGTTAGCTAAAAATTTGTACTCAAGTATATACAAGATACCTTACACTTAGGCTCATGTGTCTCAAGGTTGTCTTCTCATTCCCAGCAAGATTTGCTTGTAAAGATGAACAAAAATCATTTCAGTATGCTAACATCTGCCTAATGAGGATAGCAATTTCCAGTCAAATGAAGACCATATTGAGCATATAACAAGAACTATTTATAAATAATCTGCTTCTCTCATACGGTGTCAGTAAGAGAAGAACCAGAATTTCAGCAGATTCTGGAATAGGCTTCCAGTGATAAACAAAGATTGAAATTTTACTCTCTATTTTTATATATCACAATCTATGCCAAAAAAAAGTAAAACTAAAAATTCAAGCACTAACAAAAGTACAAAAATGTCATAAAAACTATCTGACACAAATGTTAAAGTATTTTGAAATTCCAGGCGATCTGATCCCTCAGTATGACAAGGGTAGAGGTGATGATCTCTGTGCACAGCTCTTTCCTAGGTTCCGAAAGAGATACATTCTAAAGACTAAAATAATCTTGCCTAATTGAATTGATGAAAAGATAGCTAAATGGAAAATATAACGACCTTGGGAGATAGCTACTATTATTTCCTTTCTATAAAGAAGGAAATTGAAGCGTTGAAATGTGAAATAACTTGTTCAGTCACAAAGCAATTAGGTACAATTAAGTACAACCTTGGTTCTTTCTGACTTCAAAGTCCAGGTTATTTCCATTTTTTCAAATTAGAATAAAAAATTCTATGACATAAAAAGCTAACAAAGACTTATCTAGTTCAGTTTCATGCTGTCAACTAAAGCCTAACATTTAAGTCATCAAGGCTAAAGATCTATTCACAACAGAAAATAAATTATATCTGAGATTTTTATCAGAAACACCACTAGAAGTAAAATTCATATTCTAGTGCAGTGGTCAGCCTGTGGGTGAAATTCCCTCCTTCACCCTGGATCTATTTTTGCAAACGAATTATACTGGAACAGTCACGCCCATTCGTTTACATATTGTCTATGGCTGCTTTCTGCTACAAGGGCAGAGCCGAGTAGTTGAGACAACAACCACATGGCCTTACCAAGCCTAAAATATTTATTATTTGGCCCCTTTACAGAAAAGTTTGCCTCTCCTGCTCTAGGGAGTACTCAATCAAAAAAATGAGAAGTAAAATATTCATAAGTTCCCAAGCCAAATAGTTTTCCCATATGAAGAATCATCAATAAGTTTCCTCAGATCTATTTTTATTAGGTAATACTATAATCTTCTCATGAAGACATAATGTTAAAAAAATACACTCTTATGTAAGAGGAAAGTTAGTACTTATAGGCCATGCTGTATTTTTTTTATGGAATTTATTTGCAAACTGTTTAAAACCTAATGAGGTTTATATACTGTTACCCACTAACTCTTCCCTTTTTCTGTGTACCAAAAATACTCAGACAGGTGACAGAAAAACTAAGAATTACTAACTCACAAAAAGAGGAATCCCAATCCCCTCGCCAGTTATTAGTTTTCTTTTTTAATAGTACATAATATATAAGAAACGAAATCGATATGTGATCTTACATCAACTGCTTTCATAAAGATTAACACAAAATTAGCTATTCGATTATTTTATAAAGAAAACAAAATACTACACTTCAACTGACCTCCTAGTTTTGTTAAAGGCTGATACTGTTAAAGATTAGTATTACAGTTTATAGCCAATGCTTGTATAAAGAGATAAGAGTTTTAAAGTGTCTTCTCTTGGTAGATGGAGTGGCAACATGAGTTCCTTTTTATTCTTACTTTAAGCTGAAGGAATTAATGAAAAGAACGAATAAACTGGGGCCGGCCCCATGGCCAAGTGGTTAAGTTCGTGTGCTCCGCTTTAGTGGCCCAGGGTTTCACTAGTTCAGATCCTGGACATGGACATGGCACCGCTCATCAGGCCACACTGAGGTGGCATCCCACATAGAAGAACCAGAGGCACTCACAACTAGAACATACAAGCACGTACTGGGGGAGAAGAGGGAGGAAAAAAAATAATTGGCAACAGATGTTAGCTCAGGTGCCAATCTTTTTTCTTTTCAAAGATTTTATTTTTCCTTCTTCTCCCAAAGCCCTCCCGGTATATAGTTGTGTATTTTTAGTTGTGGGTGCTTCTAGTTGTGGCATGTGGGATGCTGCCTCAGCATGGCTTGACTAGCAGTGCCATGTCCATGCCTAGGATTCAAACCGGTGAAATCCTGGGCTGCTGAAGCAGAGCGCGAGAACTTAACCACTTGGCCACGGGGCCAGCCCCTCAGGTGCCAATTTTAAAAAAAAAAAAAAAGAATAAATGAAGAATCCAAGAATTAAAATCATCATGTCTTCAATAATAAAACAGCACTATTAAATAGTCATAAAACATAAAGCTTTAAAAACACTCAATATATTGTCTCAGTTCTTAAATAATAACAGAAATTAAGCACTTCCATCAAGCAATAAAAAAGAAAAAGTAGCCACTAGAAGGACCCACAACTAAAAATACACAACTCTGTACTGGGGGGCTTTGGGAGAAAAAGGAAAAATAAAATCTAAAACAAAAAAAGAAAATAGAAAAAGTCATTAAAAGACTGAAAAAAATCTGAAACATTCAGGGATAATCAAATATGCTGAAAGCGAACAATCCAAAACAATACTCTTGGACACAACATGATCGTCAAGATCTATAACTACATTTAATGCATTCTAATGCACCAGGTACTAAAATAGCTAACACTGTGTATAGCACTTACTATTGCCAGACACTATTCTAAGGGTTTCACAGAAAGTAATCATTTAATCCACTCTATATAATATTACTGCCCCCACTTTATAGCTGAACAAACCCAAGGAGATAGAGGTTAAGTAACAAGTCCAAGGTCATCAAGTTAGTAAGCAGTAGAGGTAGCATTTGAACTCAATTACTTGGGTTCCAGAGGCTAACTCCTAACCATTATATCATAGTTCCTCTCTTATACAAGATTGGAAGAAAAAAAAATCTAGAATGTTTGATAGCCCATAGAACTGGGGCTTTCAATACTTAAACATTTTATGACCATTTTTTGATAATGTCACTAGAGGAAAAAAAATGAAAATTAATGGTTATTTTCTTTAACAAATATCTTCATTATACATAGCACTTATATAACAATGCAAGATTAACATACATAGGATAATCTCTCTTAAGAATACACATTAAGATTCACAGTTTAAAAATATAAGATACTTCCAAATCAGGGGCAGATACAATAAAGATTCCTTCTACCTGAACTCCCAACCCGCTTTCTCCTACGAGCAGAACATAGAAATAAAAGCCAATATCTTCTAAACTCACAGTTGCTAAGGAAAGGTGGGTCAACCTCTTTTGTTTTGGAAGGCAACGCTAGAGTACGTTTTTGGAAATTTAAATAAGAGCCAGGGCAGGTTTTATTTCAAGTTAATTTGTTTACTTATTTCCACAGAGTACTAAGGAGTATTTTAGATAATAACAACATTCATCAATTATAATCAGAAACATAATACCTTAATCACAATTATTTGTGCTAAATAATAGGCCAGAAACTATAAAGTGAGTGTATGCTTACACACGCAAGCACACATAACACAATCTACAGATCTCTAAGACATCACCAAGTTTCACGGTATTAATCAGGAAAAAATAAATCATATTGCTCTACTGTTGAATCTCCTGTAGAAAAGAACATCCAGGGAAGATGCTACTCCTAAAGGAGTTTTTCTCAGTAAGAGATAATGAAAATACTAACTTGCTTTCTCTCTATGGCATTTTACAGTTTGCCATGAATTTTCAAATCTCCTGACACTCCAATGCTGTGTATTACAACATTCACTCTACAATCTCTATTATTTGAAAGAGTGTACCTAGTTTTATTAAGGGAGGATTCTGGTCTGAGAATCTCAAGGGATGAGAAAGAGTTATCTTTCCAGGCAGAGAAAATAGCACAACAATAAAAGCAAAGCTAAGCCACTGAAGGAGGTAGACTAGAGCACAAAACGTAAGACAGGAAGCTACAGGAGATGAGCTGGACAATCAAGGCAGACGGCAGACTGTGAGGCCTTGCGTGCCATGTTAAGGAGCTGAGATTGCCTTTTAAGTAACAGGAAACCAGTGGAGTTTTAAGCAGGGGCATAGCATGTCAGAACTGCATTTTTAAAAGATTACAGTAACAAGATCCATGGAAGTTGGATTTTAAAAGGGCAAGACAGGAAGAGAGGAAGTGATAATACAGATGGACAGAAAAACCTAGATTCAAGAAATATCTGGAAGTACAACTGGCAGAAGGACCGATAAAACAGAGGAAACAGTCTAAAATCATTGCCAGATTGTTAGCTTGGATAGCTGGGTATGTGAGAAAGTGGAGGTCTGTGAGCAGACACTTAGAGATGAGTGTGAAGCACAGGGAATATATCAAGACTAGGGATACAGAGCTGCAATGATCAGCACATTGGTGACAGTTAAAAGCATGAGAGTAAATGTAATTGTACAGAAAGGCAGAAGGGTGGAAGTGGCTATCTTCATTTTTGAGGAGCAGATAAAACAAAGTCCATGAAGACCAGCAAGAAGAAACTATCAAACAGGTATGTGAGGGCAAAAGAAGAGTGGCGTATGGAAAAAGACAAAAAAGGAAAGCAGTCAACAATATCAAAGGAAGCAGAAAAGTACTATGAGGACTGGAAATTATGTGGGATTTGGTGAAATGAGGGTCAACAATAGTCTTGCCAGAGAAGAGACAATGTCAAATTGCATGGGGTTGAAGAACAAATGAGAAGGAGAAGTTTAAGTCAACTCCTAAGACACTGGGGAGTGAAGAAAACTGAGAAGGGAGCCAGGGGTAAAGAAAAGTTTCTTTTTTTCAGTGAGAGAGACCTGAGCATGTCTAGAATGAAGAAACGAAGCTATGAGAAATAAATAGGTTGACGATATAAGAAAGAACAAAACTGATAAAGCATGGTCTGGAAGAGATAGAAGGAGATGAGAATGTGAATAATAAGACAGGAGCAAGATTGGCTTTGAAAAAGAGTCAGGATGAAACTGGAGGGAAGTAAGGTTACGCAGCAATGTGCTAAGAGAATTTGGCTGTAGTGTGGGGTGGAGAGATGTCAAGAGAATTCACAGATACACTGCCTCGATTTCAGAGATAAAGTAGGAGATCAGATCAGTGTCTGAAAGTTTGAGGGAGATAAACTGAGGAGAATGACGAATCTTTGGGATAATTACAAAATGAATAAGAAAGGGAACCTTACGAAAGGCAAAAAAAAAAAGAATTGAGAAAAAGTGCTGAGAACCATATGGATCAGGCACAATGGAAAAATTAATATGAAAATAAATCAGGACACAGTCACATACTGCTTAACAATGGGGATATGTCCTGAGAAATGCATCATTAGTTGACTTTGTTGTTGTGCAAACATCATAGAGTGGACTTACACAAACCTAGATGGCACGGCCTTCTACACACCTAGGCTGTATGGTACTAATCTTACAGGACCACTGTTGTATATGCGGTCTGTCATTGACTGAAATGTTGCTCTATGGTACATGACTGCATCAACAGATAAATCGGCAGAGGACCAAACCACTAATTCAGAAAAGGAAATACAACTAGTAAGTGCAAATTAAAACAGGTAAATATTTTTACTCTATATAATCAAAATAATAATACACATGCTGGCCTTAATGATGGTAGGTACTACTTACTTTTAAGGAACTTAAGGTTGAGTGGAAGATCCAAAGACACATTCAGACAATTTCAAAACAACATGGTTGCGTATAAGGATAGAGATATATACCTAGAGGACAACTGGAGAAGGAGAAGAGCCACTGGGAGTGAGGGAGAAGATTGTTAAGTCCTGTATCCCTAACACCTGGAATACTGCCTGGTATAAAATTTTGTTGAATTAATGAATAGTAAAATGTGCATCATAGAAGAGGCAATTTTACGTAACAGGAAATGATATACAATAAAAAAGACTTAGGTCTGAATCTTGGTTTCCTACATATTAGCAGTGCCACCTTGGAGCTTCTTTCCAAGAAACCTCAATTTCTTCATCTGTAAAACAGGATACAAGCTCTCTTTCAGAGTTGCTATGAGGAACAAATAAGACCACAAGTAAGTTAGATAAAAGAACCTAAGTGATAACTCCAAGAGGGAAGGGTAATCCAACTGTGACATGAATGCTTCGGTGACCACCAAATTACTTTTGCTAATCTGGTTACTGACATAGGATCCTTTGTGAAGTAGCACACTGGGTTGAAGAAGACAACATTCCAAGGTGGAGGTCAAAAACTCTAGGTCATCTACCACCACATAATGCTAAGTGACAAAAGACAAACTGTTTGAAAGTCATGATGACCACATTCGTACTATGCATAGAAAATAAAACCAGAGGTACATACATAAAAACTGGAAAGAATTTATATTTTTTCACTTCTCTCCAAACATTAGTTTTGATTACATAACTATAAATATAGAAATGCCATGATAAGTGATTACAGACTCTAAGTTCATCTGTTAATAATTAACTAATAGCCCAATAATAATAGTTTGATCACTTAGTATTTGCCAGGTCCTGTTTACATGCTTTCGTATATTATTAAATCTTTACTTCTCACAACAAATCTGTCAGGAAATGGGGGCACAGAATGGTTAAATAACTTGCCTGAAGTCACACAAATAGGAAGGGGCAGAGCTTGGGTTCCACCCTGCAGTCTGGTTCCAGAGCTCATAAGCGTTATAGAGTAAAGGGGGTCTTCTGGAGTGATCTGGCTATAGGAGTCACTGTCATGTTATCAATTTCTAGGGGCAACTATCACTTCTCATTTAAAAGCCACATCTCTGAGATCAAGCACTTTCACACGTTCTGTCCTTAAAACTGATACAAGCTGCTATGACAAGAGTTACTACCTGACCATGTGGTTAGAGAGGGCTTCTCTAGCATACTATCATATACCTATTTGTATAGCGACCCAGGAGGTCCGACTACATCCATGCTGACATAGAGAACCAAGAGCTGTTGCTCCCTGTACTCAAATGAACAGCTATATATATAACCCAAAACAGAGGAATTTCCATTCTAAAGGATAATCTACAAGATTGATCACATGTCCCTATGCTTACCATAAACAGAGATCTCATACATAAAAATTTCTTAAATTTACTTTAGCAAATGTTTAAAAAATTTCCTTGGACTATAAGATATAAATGTTCATGACAAAGTAAACATATGCCAAAGCTCTCATGAAGCCACATAAGTAAAGAAAAATCTTTAGCACTCCCCTCCCCCATCTTGGCCAATATCAAATGCTTCAGAAAGTCTCTAACTCTATTAGTGTTCACAGAATATGAATACTTTAACACACATCTCTAAAAGGAATACAAACATGTAGAAATCCCTTGTAATTTTTATCCTACCTAATATTACTTGATTTCAGATGCTCCTCTGATTTCAAGTTTCCGGTCCTCATCTGGGACTTAAATGAAACGTTTTCTCCCACAATGACTATCTGCAAGAACATCCAATTTCTCATAAGGTAGAATGGTTTAAGACATTCTAGACAGAGGAGAGGAGGAAAATATGAGTTAACCCACAATAACAGAGAACCCCCTTGAAGAAAATTAAATTATTTCTCTTTATTTGAAATGATTTAATGTTAAAGGCAAAGGAAAAATATCAAAGCTATTTTTCCTTTTTGTATTTAGTTTCTTAGAATACACATTTTAAAATTCTGTTTTGTGTATTTCTAACATTCTAGTTTTAGATCGAAATGGTATCCTAATCTCCCTCCCTGTCTGAAAGCTGAGTGACTTCTACAGGACAAACAGACACCAGTTACCCAGCAGAGTTCTTGTAGTACCAAGGTGAGAGTGCCCCGGAGAACACAGGAGCAGGTGGCTGGTCCAAACTGGACTGCTTACCCAAGAAAAAACACGTAAAGCAATTAAATCACATTATAGGTAGTATGAATAATGCTTAAATTCTAAGATCAGCTGAAAATGGGAGCTTTTTAGATCTTCATTCACATACTGACAATGATTTGGTCATTTATATGTGCTAGATATAGTGTTAAGGACTGGGTATACAATGATGAGCAAAACAGATATGGTCCCTGCCATGGACTTGTTTTTTTTTTTGAGGAAGATTAGCCCTGAGCTAACATCTGCCGCCAATCCCCCTCTTTTTGCTGAGGAAGACCGGCCCTGAGCTAATATCCGTGCCCATCTTCCTCTACTTTATATGTGGGACACCTGCCACAGCATGGCTTGCCAAGCAGTGCCATGTCCGCACCCGGGATCCGAACTGGTGAACCCCGAGCTGCCGAAGCGGAATGTGAGAACTTAACCGCTGTGCCACTGGGCCAGCCCCCTTGCCATGGATTTAAAATCTGCTGTGGAGACAGACCAACAAGGAAGGAGGAAACAGCAGAAAGTAGTGGTTAAAAGCATGGGATTGGGTGTCACACTGTCTGCATTCAATGGTATACCCAGAGTTAAGCCACAGAAAAAACAGCACAATTTCTTGGGGACATATATTTAACTCAAAGATTTGGACCAAGTAAATTAAGTAATTATTATTGGCTACTGATAACTGCTTACATTTACAATTATTATGTGGCAGATGCTATGCTGAATGTTCTATATGCATGGTCTCATAGAATGGGAGTATAATGTAGTGGTTAAGTGTCTTGTATTCAGACTGCCTGGGTTCAAACCAAGCTCTGCAACTTGCTAGTTATGTAACCTTAGGAAAATTACTTCTCTATGCTCCAGTTTTGTTAGAAGTAAGAAGGAGATAATAAAAGTACCTACCTCATTGAGATGTTCTGAAGATTAAATGAGGTAATAGAAATAAAGCACTTAGGATCATTCCTTGGTAAGTCAACCCTCAAAAAAAGTTAGCTATTACTGTCGTTGTCATTATTATCATCATTATATATATTATTCCTCCTCCCAACAATCCTAAGATGGAAATGTCGTTATTATCCTCATTCTATAAATTAGGAAATTAAAGCTAAGAACTTACACTTATCAATTCTAGAATAGAAGACAAAGTTATTCTTAATTTTTAACAATATAACACCAGTCAAACATGCAAAAGGTCTATGTGGACTTTGTTTCCATACTTACAAAGCATATATTCAATCTCCTGTGACTTAGCTGTACTTTAGCGGAAAGACTGAGAGAAAATAGCCCATGATAAAACTCAAGCTCCTTACTACGGCATGTAAGGTCCCACAGCTCCTCACTTTACACTTTATGACCCAACAAAACCAAATTACTTTCAGTTCCTTGCTATTTTTCCCCTTCAGTATCTTTATTCATGCTCTGTCGCTCAACCTGGAATGCCCGCCCTCTTCCCTCCTTGTCTGGTTACCCTTTCTCTTATTTTAAGAGTCAGCAACTCCTGTAAGAGGGCCTTGGCTCGGCCAAGCACTCCCAGTGCATCTTAATGCCCACTTCTATTACGGCGCTCACTGCACTATGATGAAGTTATTTGTTTACCCATTTCCTCCACTAGAGACTGTCTATTTAACCTTGCATATCTGGTGCCTAACAACGCCTGCCAGACAGCAAGCTGCTCAAACAAACATGCTAATTTGGACTAAACAGTCTTTCAAAAGGCCAAGACCCTAAAAATTCAAGGTTTCTCAACATTGACAACACCTTCAAAAGTCTTCCAAGAAAACAATTTGAAAGGTTTTTCATCTTATTGATAACCAGGAATAACATACTTCCTTTTAAGTTCAGAAAATTTACTATTTTATACAATTAGAGAAGTCCATGATCATTTACTTGGGTCTCTGAAATATTCAGATTTTGTTTTCCTCGTATTGGGATCTATACAACAATCCCTGTATCTTCCTGAAATAAAATAACAAGATAATATAAACCACTTATTTAATGCATTAAAAATGAATAACTAAATGCCTTACAGGTAATAAAGAGGAAAAATAAAAGGAAGGCAATTTTTAATAAAATTAGTATTTCAATACATAAATGGTCAGGTAAGACTACCCTTGAAGACATAATAAAGTAATCAAAGACTGCACATACTTACAATGGTAAGAGAAGGTTAACAGAATTTCAAACAAAGATAGGAAAGTGAAAGCAAAAATATGAGTAGACACTACAATTAAGATGAGTGTTAACGTAAGTAATAACAGACCAGACTTATTGGAAAATGGTAAGAATGAGAGAAAACAACTGAGACGACAATATGACATGACAAAGAACAGAGTTGATTTGAAGAAAACAAGGGTGTGACTATATCCTTTGAGAAGTGACAGGTAAAAAAAATTAGACTGGAAAAAGAAACAGCAAACAGTCCTTTATATAAGGTAAAACACCATATAAATTTAGGTTAGGGACAAATAAAGCACAACTTCCCAACTTGGAACAGGGGGATAACATGGAAGATGGCCAAGGTAGTTAACTCAAACAGCTACCAACAATATTTAAGATACTCTCTGATTTAACAAAATAAAAGAATCTGTACATTATTATGGTACATACAGTATTCCCTACTTGTTTCGGTCTCTGAAATCAAAAAATAAAAGATATACAAAAGTCAAATCTGATTTTTCCACCAAAGAACTACTATTTAGCCTATACTTTCAGACATCAGTTTTATCTAGTCAGACTTCTTTTTTCCTTATTATTTTCCTATCTGAATAAAGGGGTTCTGTATTATAATCAAATAATTTAACAAATTAAACCTGATAAGATCACAGAGATGGAAGACCGTTATATTAATGACCCCCAATGAATCACACACTTGCTGGCATCTGCACCCTTGTGAACTCCCTTAACACACTGACCCTGGGCTTGGCCATGTGACTTACTTTGGCCAAGGGGGCTTCAGCAAATGTGACACAAACAGAGGCTTAATAAGCACTTGGGTATTTGGGCTCGCCCCTTTGTAACATCATCACCATGTTATGAAGCTAAGGATGAGAGACCACTTGGAAAGAGGAGACCCAGTTTTCCCACCTATCACAGATACCACAGCTGAGGCTCCAGACATTTGAGTGAGGTCATCTTGGACCATTCAGGGTCAGGGTGAGCCACTGGATGACTGAGTCATCCAACTTGAGTTAGATGGGCTGAGCGACAGGAAACTTTGGGGATTTAAAGCAAAGAGGCAATATGATCTAACGTAGATTTTAACAGGTTCCACCTGGCTGCTATGTTGAGCATTGACAGGCTTGGACCAGCAGGCAGCAGTGGAGCTGGTAAGATGTAATCAGACTCTGACCAAGAACATTTGTTGAATAAAAAAATAAAGAGAGAGAGAGGAGAATCAAAAATCATTCATGGTTTTCAGTCTAAGCAGCTGGAATAGTGGATTTGCCATTCAATAACAAGAGAAAGATGATACAGTAGGTATGGGGGAAGAGTCCACTTTGGGACAACAATACTTGGCACACAGTATTATATAAGCACTTGCCATTATTTTTGATAATGATAAGTTTGAGATGATTAGTATACATCCAACGAATGTAACTGATAGTTAAAGAGTCTGGGGCTTAAAGGAAAAGTTTAGACTACAGATATTCATTTGAGAGTCATCAGTATACAGAGGCTAGAGATGAGAAGGGAACAGTAAACAGACTGAGAACTAATGGCCAGACAGGTGAAAGGAAAATTTGTTGAACATGGTGTCCTAGAACCCAAATAAAGAAAGAGCTTCAAGAAAGAGGGCAAAAATCAACAAATGCTGCTGATGCATCAAGTAAAATGAGGCCTGAGAACTGATTATTGGATTTAGTAATGTGGAAGTCATTGAGGATATCAAGAACAATTTCGGTGGAGAAGTAGGGGCACAAGCCCATAGACTGACTTCAACAGAAAATAGGAGGAGCGGAACTGAGACTAAAACTGAGTTTAGACATCTTTATCCAGGGAAGAGAGGCAGTAGCTGGAGGGAGATGTGAGAGTCAAAAAAGTTTTTAAGATGGGATACATAACATATTTTAATGGGATGGAATGCGATAAATAAGATGGAAAGATTCAATGGAGGAAAAAAAAGGCTGAAAACAGAGTCTCATGAATGCCATTGGGGTTTGTTTAAATATTGCACATGTTTAAAAGGAAAAAAAGTCCATGAATGAAAGAATAAAATTTAAAGTGAATATACACAGAAGGAAAGATGACTAACAGTTATTGGGGGCCTACTGAATAACAAGGAGATTACATAAACTATTCCCAATTTAGTTTTCATAGCAACTTGAGATAATTACTATTTTTCCAATTTTATAAATAAAGAAACAAGGGCTCAGAGATTTTAGGAAAATTGCCCAAGATCATAAAGATAGTAAGTGCTAAGACTGGGATTCAAATCCAGGTGTATCAGAATTCCAGAGCATAAACAATTTCTATTCATTATTCCATGATGCACAACTGACCTCAGTTTTCAACAATTCAGATATTCAAAGCTAAACTGTGAATACTTTATTGCTTATAACTTATTCAGAGTTTGCCTTTTTAACAGCATAAGACCCATCCATATCCCCTTTCCCTTAAACCTGAAAAATTCTTCTCCAGGAAATCTTC